GGTTAGACTCTTATTTAAAATCCTTTAAAACCTTCAAATTCCTCTTAGAATGAAATCTCAATCCTTTCCTGTGGCCTACAGGGCCTTGATTGATGGTGCATTTCTTACTTCATCTGTGCCTGCCTCACCTACCACCTGCTCACCAGGCTCTGGTGCACTGATCTTTCATTTGCTCAAATATGGTAGGCCTTCTCCCACCTCAGGGTCCTTACACATGTTGTCCCCTTTGCTTGGAGTCCTCCTCTCCTATTCCCTGTTCTTTTCATAGTTGGTGCCACCTATGAGGTCTTAACTGTCATAACCTCAGAGAGGCTCTCTAGCCCCCAAGTCTAAATGTGCCCTACATTATTCTTTCACTGGATCCTGGGCTTTGTATTTTTAGCACTTAAATATCACTTGTCCCTTCTTTCTCCCTTGCAGACTGGGCAATCCAGAAAGGCAGGGACCACGGAGGATTTATTCACTATTGTATATCAAACCCTTTCACTCTAGCCAGGGATGGCCAAATATTCTTCGAGGGAATGAATCAAATTAGTCACCTTTTTAGCCTCAGATAAAGTGCTGCCCTGGCAAGCATGGACACTCTTGGCTTCAGTATGGCTGTGAGATCCTGAGCATTTTCCCAAAGGAGGTTTGGAATAAAGTTGTGTGTTAATGTTTTTGTCATGGCTTTTATCTGGGGACCTTCCCCTGCCATGACCTCACTACTGAGCCCTCTAATGGTATTTGAAGTAAAATCTGGAGATTATGGATACCTTAAAAATTTTAATGTTCTTTTATTTTACCCTGTGAGTGTTTTCATTGTGTTGAGTAGGGAGAACCTATATTTACTATAGGTTGCCTTTATTTGTGTATTTGAATCATGTGCATGTATTTGATTCTTACATGTATTTGATTCAAAATTTGCTTTTGGATCTCTAAAAATCATCAAATACTACTCATTAATATGAGTAATATTTAAGAGCTTATGTTCTAGAGGAGTTCAAATTTCATTCTTTTGCTCCCTAGCCATAGGACCTTGGGTAAATCATTTACCTTTTCTAAGCCTCTGTTTCCTCATTTATTAAAAAAAAAGGGATAATATTACTTTCAGCATTGTTTGGGGGATTACATGAGGTAATTTATGTAATGATTTTACCTAGTTCCTGACATATAGAAATCATTCAATAGAAAATAACTATTACAACTATTCACAATTTGAGAATAGACAACTTAGTTTAATAGAAAGGGCATCAGGCTGAATATCAGTAATGTTGAGTTCAAGTCCCAGCTCTACAAGTCATAAGCTATGTGACAGGAGACACATCATCTGACCTCTTTGAGCCTTAGTATTCTCATCTGTAAAAGGTCACAAGCAAAATTGGCCTAACTTGCCTCAACACTTGTTTGAAGGATTAAAGAAGAGGAATATGTATAAGTACTTTGTAAACTATAAATCACTATATACTATGTGCAGATCTTTAAAGTCATTGGCTTTTCCCTTAAAAACAGGATGGCTGTGACTCAGTATTAAAGAAAAGCAGGTGCAGAGTTCAGTTAGCTCAAAATTCAACTGGTTCTAAAGTGGGAAATAAAAATTTTGGTGTCACTATCTGAGACTCAGCGAAATCTGGCAGTATTCCACTTGCTTAGTTATTTTAAAAAAAAAAAAAAGAAGAGCCAGTGGTACTATTAAAAATTCTCAATATATTTGCATATTGATTTTTCCAGAGCACACATTCAATGTCCTAGAATTCCTGGTGGTACTCTTGGACTCATTTCCTAAGGTCACTTATGGAAGGTAAACACGACTCTAGAAAGTAAAATTAGGTTTGCTGTTCTTTCCATCTGACACATTTTGCTGAATGCTGAAGTTATTTTCACATTCATATGAATTAGTCTACCTGAATTTCTTTCTTCTTTGAGTGGTGTCACAAGTGAATCTGACTGTTTTACAGGGTGATAACTTACAATTTTAAAGCCTCTTGTATATTTAGTGACTGAGCCATTTCTATAGTAATAAATTCTACAGGACCCTGGAGCGTAGCACTGTCATATTTTTTGGTGTCTATTATTCACAGATTTTAGGTATACGTCACTGTAGAAAAATGGCTCAGCTAGTGTAGGTGACCCTTTTTTCCCACTTGAAATCTGAGTATATGACTGAGTTGCTAAACTTTCAGGGGCATATTAAAGCTGACTGAACTCTTTTCTACTTTCACTTCATTTATCACTTGGAATTGCTTAAACAGACTAATTCAAGACAGCAAACTCATACATAGTATTTTATGAGTCTGCTATATATATATGTCTTTCACCAGGTTCAGCAGAAGAACAAACATAATAGGTGGGTTCATTCTAAATATTGCTACATCAACGTTATTCTTAATTTTCTCATTTTTCACCTTCTCATCCAGTAAAAACCAAGTCATTTCAATATCTCTTGATTCAGCCATCCTCACTGCCAAAGTTAGCATCTTTAGTAGTCTCTTAACAGGTTTCCTGCTCATCCAATATCGCCCCTCCAATCCATTCTCTACCCTGCATCAGGAGTGAATGATGCAGAACATAAACTGGATCATACCCCACTCTCGCCTAAAAACCTTCAGTGGTTTCCCACTGATCTTAGGGTAAAGACCAGAATCCTTACAGAGATGATCGACTCCTATTTATCCTTTAAATTCAGCTCAAACATCACATTCTCAAAGAAGCTTTCCCTGTCACCTCAGATCCAGGCCAGTCTCTGGTAAACATGTTGAGAATGTGGGCTCTGGAGGCAGCTTGTTAGGGTTTGTATCCCATTTCTGCCACTTTTTACTTACGTGACCTTGGGCAATTTACTTAACCACATTGGGCCTGTTTCCTTATCTGTTAAATGGGGATAATAAGGGCACTTATCCAAGAGGGCTGGCTGTGAGGATTCAATGAGAAGCACACATAAAACACTTGCAAGAGAATTGTAAATATGATTTCCAGAGTCCTCTGCAGTTCTTAGTAGTTTTCTCAATGCCATTAAATACTATGTGATTGTTTAATTATGATTGGTTACCATTTAATCTCCAAAACATAAGTTTAGTGAGGCCAATTACCATGTTAATGTTGTTTACACCAATGATTTCTCAGTGCCTATATAGAAAGCCTCATGGAGAAGCAAACATGTTGAGAATGTGGGCTCTGGAGGCAGCTTGTTAGGGTTTGTATCCCATTTCTTCCACTTTTTACTTACGTGACCTTGGGCAATTTACTTAACCACATTGGGCCTGTTTCCTTATCTGTTAAATGGGGATAAGGGCACTTATCCAAGAGGGCTGGCTGTGAGGATTCAATGAGAAGCACACATAAAACACTTGCAAGAGAATTGTAAATATGATTTCCAGAGTCCTCTGCAGTTCTTAGTAGTTTTCTCAATGCCATTAAATACTATGTGATTGTTTAATTATGATTGGTTACCATTTAATCTCCAAAACATAAGTTTAGTGAGGCCAATTACCATGTTAATGTTGTTTACACCAATGATTTCTCAGTGCCTATATAGAAAGCCTCATGGAGAAGAAGTGAATTCAATCTTAGAATGAATAAATAAATGCTAAGGTTTAGGGGTGGGAATTAAGAAATTATCTGGGCCTCAATTACTTCACATACAAAATTAGGGGTTATGAGACTAAGTTATTTCTCAGTTCCTTATCTCAGCACTCCAAATACCAGGATTTGTTAAGTAGGGAACACCAGATATATGAAAGTGAAAACTAGAGTCTGTTTGCTCTTTGTTACTTTGACCAATGGGGCTAAGATCAATGGGGCTAAGAAACTGTACGGGAATGTCTCTAAAATGATTCTGCTTTACCTTACATATTTATGGGGGACTTTCAAAATTCCTCTTTTTTTTTTTAAACACCAAATGGCCTTTCTAATTGTAGCTATGTAGAAAGAAATAGGACAATGTAAAATTTAGAGAACAGTGTTGAAAGGAAGTGTCCAGACAAATTTAAATAAAGCTCACTTACTAAACATTTAACTTAAAGAAACAAAGAGTAGTACTATTAACCTCCTGTTTTTTGGTTTGGTTTATGTAAAGTATATAAAGTAGCAAATGGGGATTTCAGTCATTTAATTTACACTTGGTAAGCCACTGTATTTTCAACCAAAATAATATCCTCACATGCTGTTCTGCTAAAATGGTGAAGGCCTTGTTCATTACAACTCTTAGGGTGCATTTGTAAGAATTATTTGTTGTCAAATAGACTTCCTGTTAGATAGTATGAGGCTACAGCACTTCATAGTGAGCCTTGGCTCTTAGAGGAGAAGATTCAAAAATCACTATTTATACTGCTTCTGCAAACAGCATTTAAATTTAAATTCCTGCCTAATTTGTGAGGAGAAAGTTTATGGACTATGAATTAGAGTCGTTTTAGTGTGTGTGTATATACACATACATAAACATAAAAAGAACTTGAACAGCTTCATATTGTATTTTCAAAGCTGGAATTCAGTGAAGAAAGGGAAGGGGAAGATGAGAATCACTTATTTAGTGAAATTTAGAAGTTTCACAGGGGTTTAAGTCCTACTGTTGTTAATATGAGCACACGTCACCTTGACTGACCGTTCACTGTTATGAGTGGCTCTTCTTTTCCACGTGACGGATTTCTTTCTTTGTCTTCACCTTATAACCTTCTCCCTGCTTTGAAAGGAATGTACATATTAAGATTTCTTGGTGAAAGAGTTTTAGTTATAAAGCAGTTCCCATTCTGGTCCCTGGAGGCTGGATTAGGATAAGTGAAACAGTTTAAAGCAGTTTGTCAGTTCATGTCCAAAAATACATATAATCTATTTGGCCTAACCACACAGCTAAGCATCATCAAGGCAAGCTTGAGAGCACTGTCAAAATGAATACCACATAACTGTATTTCACAATAATTCAGTAGGTTAGTGGTAAATCAGAAACATGAGCAGCCTGTCCATTTCCTATAGTAAGCTAGAAGGAATCATCACTAACGCTCGCAAAGGCACCCAAACCAACCCCAATTTAAGAAAGTATCAGTAAATTATAATTTATGCTTTTTTAAGCCAGCAGAATTTTAAGTAATCTCTTGTAATGAAACTAAAATTTCTTAGTAAAGCACTAATCAAGAACTAAACACCATGGGAATGCTGTTGATCTGAGGTACTTTTTAAAAAAAAGTTTGTGGAATTACCCGTGCCATCCTCTCACTCCCAGACCAAGGAGGCATACATTTTCCATAAAACAAGACCTCTCTTCACTGAGAACCAGGAATGCACTTCTCTGAGAGCAAGGTTGTTTCACAGATACTGTTTCTACCCTACTTATAACAGAAAACACAAGTAGCCTGTCCAATTTTCTGATTTAGTTCTGAGAAGTTTTCAGTTCACTTTTTTCTTGTGTAAACATGGTCTAGTGAAGTTTCTATTTTTAAATCAAAGAGTAAAGACCTGAGAAACAGAAATTAAAAATAACCAGAGAGGTCTTCTCTGAGAGATGCAGATTCATTTGGTGAATTACACTGCTCAGTTATGAGTTTGGTTTTTAACTGGCACATTGGAAATGTGCTGTTATAAACCCAAAGAAGGGAACCCTCCTCAGGTTAAAATGGGGAATTCAGATTTTCCTACAGAATATGCTAGAAAAGGAAAATGAATAGATCTGATGTAAGGACCTTAAACTGAGCCTTTTGCCATTCTAATGTTAAACCCTGAGCATTTGGAGGGCTCTCCATTTGTGTCCCAGGTAGGCAACACTGAAGGTAGGGCACTGGGCAGGGCTCGGGCACTACCCAGAGGTTTGGTGGAGGTGATGGGTTTTATCTCTTTTCTCTCTCAAACTGGCACATTTTGTCTCCCATACATGATCTTATCTCTGTGAAAACTCTGATGATAGTAAAAAAATATATAACATTAAAGAATGTTAGGAAGAATAGTCTTTTTCTTGACCCCGATCAAACGCATAAGATGCCAAAAGCAGCAAACGCTTCAAGCTGCCACACTGCAAATGCCAGCCTGTTAGCAGCATTTTCTAGGGAGTGCACAAAGGTTTTGTCCTCTACTTGGCCCTTGGCAATCCCTCTCCATTACCACGTCATCATGTTTTCTTTCTTGTGGGTTAATAATTCGTCTTATTACTTTCCGAGTGATCTGTAGGAAGCAATAGTAAAAAGAAGAGATTTTTCTATTTCAAGATGTGACACTATAACACAAAAACAGCAGTGTTTTTAATGCAGAAAATCTGAATTCCAATTGAAGTATGAAATCTGAATGATTACTTTTCTGGTGATGAGGTTGCCTTCTTCATCAGTAAATTGTTCTTCTGTGACAGATTCACCAGGAATGTTTTTTGCTTCCTCTCCCTAAAGGATGTGGCATAGAGATTAGTAACATACTAGATGGAGAGATTGCCACACCACTTCAAACATCACAAACATGCCCTGGAATAATTCTACTTGCTACTCAAGTGCAAGGGGAAAAGGCTGACTTCACTGATGGTTATTTAGCAGTCAACAACATTCAAGCATTATAAGCCTCAAGTATGTATAAGAATGATGGTCAGCAACAAATTCCAAGGAGGAAGAATTTGGAAACAGAATTATAGAATACAGTTACACATTGATAAACCAAGACTTCATTTTCTGAAAAAAAGTTTTAGCCAACGATTAGAGCTCTGATTAGACTGTCTCAGTTTGAACAGTGTTTCTTCATTAGTCCTACAAATCTCTAGAGGAGATTTTTTGTGGGTAGAGTTTTGTCTAATTTGAATTAAGACAGTACCTTAGTTGGGGCATGATATTTATCACTCTTGTTAGTTTCATTCAGAAATTCATTTACTAAGGGTAATATATATGTTTTTTGAAAGTCTATGAGAAAAGTTCAGGGTACAGAGAAAACTCTTACTTTTTTTAAGACTGAGCCGTTCGTGGTCTTAAAATAAGTGAGAATAACTGTGTCTGATGAAGTACCTAGTTTAAGAGTACTACCTCGAAGTGAAGGGGTCTTATGTAATGACTGATTATCTCCATTGCCATAGGCCAAAAAAACCCCAAACATATATATATAAAATAAAATCAATACCGAAAAAAATGTAAGATTATATCTTTCAGTTAGTGACCGTCATCTGATTAAGGGGAAACTGTCAAATGTCTTCCTCTGGTGAGTTTTTTTTTTTTTTTTCCTTTTTCCTTTTTGTCTTTTTTCGTGACTGGCAACGGATCGCAACCCTCAGTGTCACGCCCATACCGGACCGGGACCGGCCACGGGATCGCAACCCTTGGTGTTGCGCCCGCACCTCACTCAGCCAGTGAGTGGCCGGTCTGTATATGGGATCCGAACCCTCGGCGGGAGCGCCGCCGCGCTCTCAAGCGGCGCACTGTAGCAGTGCACCACCGCGCCGGCCCACCTCTGGTGAGTTTTAAAAAATGGAATAAATTCTTAACTCTCCAGAGTGGGGCTCATATTTTTCTGCTCATAGGCAGCTTGGTAGATTTAGATGGCTCCTTAATATCTCTCTACTAGCTCTATGAATGTATAAAAAGATAAGCCACTCAGAGAGCAAAACTAGGACTATATCTGCAGTGTATTACCTTCTTCACTGGTGTTCAACTTCAGATTTATGCCACTTATAGTTTTGGGGAACATCTTAAGTGTTGACTAGTATTACAAAGATGTATAGACCTGTTAGTCAAACTTCTTGTTGAAAAGGTGAAATGGCGGGCCGGCCCGGTGGCGCACTGCTACAGTGCGCCGCTTGGGAGCATGGCGGCGCTCCCACCGAGGGTTCGGATCCCACATACAGACCGGTTCCCGCTCACTGGCTGAGTGAGGTGTGGGAGCAACACCGAGGGTTGCGATCCCGTTGCCGGTCCCGGTCTGAGGGTTCCGGACACGAAAAAAGACAAAAAGGAAAAAAAAAAAAAAAGAAAAGGTGAAATGGATATGCTATAGTGCAGCATACAGATGCCGTTTTTGAGGGTTCCGGACACGAAAAAAGACAAAAAGGAAAAAAAAAAAAAAGAAAAGGTGAAATGGATATGCTATAGTGCAGCATACAGATGCCGTTTTTCTAGGAAAAATCACAGATCACAACGACAGCTGCACAAGATTCTAACTCTTTCAGTTTTACTGGCATGGAAAAGATAGTAGCTCTGATAATTTTCTCAGTGCCAGTCAGTGGTGAGAAAATTCTATGACTGCCTCAGGTCACAACCAGTAGAAAAGTGGTTCTGGTTTAAAATGACAGAATAAAGACTAAAACACTATCTCATTTTATTAACAAAATCCTGTTCTTATTCATTTTTCTTATTACAAAGTGACTTATAGATTGCACTTATAGTATTCTTATGGATTATGGATGCATAGGTCATGACAATGGGTGGGACCCATGACTCATTTTACCTCACTGTGGTGGGATGAAAACAAAATGTTTCTTGCTGCTGTGTTTAGTTCATTCTGAATCTTGCTTATGACTAGTTTCAATTAACACAGTTAAGAGAGAGAAGGAAATTGGAAACCTGTAGAAGTCTCATGTCTAAATTTGCTAAAATCTGCAATAGGTTTTTATGAGAGTGTTATTTATATTTCCTGTGGTTGGTTTCATATATTTTGAAAAAAATCCCACAATTTTATTTATAAAGTAAAGGTAAAAACAGCAAAAATGCCAATAAAAAGTGATGAAGGGCTTCACTATAGTTTAAACATGAATGAATGAAATATTTTTGAGCTAAATCTGGAAGCGTCCAGCCCTTTGAGTGGTAGACAATTAAAGGATCTCAGAAAAGTCCAGCAGAATAGAATCCTATTGGATATGTTATGAATGGATCCTTTTATGGGCAAAGATGCTAGTTAGTTTTTAAATTGCTTGGACAGTCTCTCAAAGGAATGTGAACTAGGTATATTTATAAGCATAGCAAATACATACAAGTACAATGATTTAGATTAGTAGCCTTAGAAAAAACAAAGCCTTGCTTATAAATAACAAGCCATATAGGTTGTATAGAACTATTCTGGTATGTGGGCATTTTCATTGTTTCATACTGAAAACTCATACTATTTATGTATAATTAAAGGTAAAAATACATGTCTTTATTTTTTCCAGGTTTTTAAAATTAAAAAAATTTTTTTTTTATTATTCGTATATTCATTCTTATAAATCGTGATGTTTCTTTATGCCCTTTACTCGACCTATAGCTTCCCCCCCCCCCCATCTCTAGTATCCTTAGGTTTGTCCTCATCTTCTGAAAGTTCAGTGTGTTATTGTGGTCTTTTCTTTCTTTCTTTCCTTCATTTCTGCCTTCTTCCCTCCCTCTCTCCCTTCCTAGCAGCCAGTTATGAGAGAGAACATGGAGTATTTGTTTCTTTGTCCGGCTTGTTTCAAATGGGCACTAAATATTCAACTATTGTGTTAATAATGTCAAAATAAATTGTCTGATTATATAGAAACTCACTACAGTGGGGGAGTAAATTAGGTAAGAGGTGATCAGGTAGATAAAAAAGATAATAAGGAGTCATGAGATATATTTTTTCAAATGTCATCCATCTTTAATTCTGTCAAACATATTAGAGACTAAGTGTTACTGAGGAGAGATCTCTGAGACCTCTCTTTAATGAGCAGAATAATTTCTAGTTAGTTTCTAAAGTTCTTGAAAACAGTTTGCACTTTTAAGTAAACAGAATTTCCCCCTGGTCTCATTGACAACATTATTTTTGACAACCTCCCCAACCCACTTTTCCCCCCCGATTTCAAAGGAAAATTACAGCATAGATGGTGTTGCATTTTCATCTCTGGTGGCCACCTTAGTGGATACTTTGGACCCCTGCTAGAAGCATTGATTTTATAATTTTTATTTCTCTCTCCTTGAATTTTTGAATAAAATTAAAGAATAACAGTATGAAATGTACCAATTCGCTTTGATGTACACATTAAAACTTGAACTTTCCAAAAAATAGATGGAAGTGATATATTTTGTAGAAAATCAAGTTACTAATAAGCAGTATGTATAGTATAATCCACTTTTATATATTCTAAGAAAGCCACTAGCTGAGGATGTATGTGTACCTGTACTGTATATATTGGTATTGTATGTAAAAACAATCTGAAGCTTGTGAACAGCTGGTTATCTCTGGAAAATGGAATGGAGAGAACTTTATATACTTTTGAATTGCTTGATTTGGGGAAATCATACACATAAACTCCTACTTAGACAGCCAGTAAAAAATGTTGAAAAACAGAAGTAAAAGTAATGTTGTACTGGATAGTAAAAATTCAGTTATTTGAATCTTATCAAACTTTCCGTTAGTTTAAAGGTTTTACCTTTGCAGTTACTGGATTTGTTAAGCAAATAAGGTTAATAAACTCACAGGATTGGTTAATAACTTACATTGCTTCTAAGCATTTGAAACCACTGTGATATTATCAAATTGTATAGAAAGAAATGAATATGCTGATAAAATTTGAAAGTCCCACGACTCATTCCATAGGGATCTGAAAATATTAAATGTAAAAATAAATGAATAAAAATAAAAACTTAATAAAAGTGAATGGATCCACATATGAAAGTAAAGAGAAAAATCATAAAATTAGACTTTTACCTCATTTATTATACAAATGGAATGTTAAGAAGAAAGGTTGCCCAGACCTGTGGCAGTGGAATTCTGAGCATAATACTGCCTCCTGTGGTAGACACTTCTCAGCCAAAGCTGGCTCTGGGAGGGATGGAATAACGGCAACATAGTTTTCAGTGCTGAGATACTAAGTGCTATGGGGATTATTACAACAGACAGTATAACTGTGCTGGTTTAGTCCAGGGTTGGACAGCATCCATGAAGTAGGTCAAATTCCCAGCATTCCAGGTCCATTAAATAGTTTCCAGCAATGACAGCCCAATGCTGCCCTCGTCTATGCCACTGGAAAGGTCTGAATGGCGAAATATTTAATTTAGTCTAGCAAAAAGTGTTACTTTTTACAAATTTTTTCTGGAAGAGAAACATAATATTGTGGAAAAAGCATGTCACTACATAGCTAGGGATTAGTTCTGGTCCCAGAGCTGCTACTGGCCTGGCTGTGTGATTTTGAGTAAATCAACTCATCTCCAATCTTCAGTTTTGTCATCTTGGACAAGGAATAATTTCACTGTCAATTACCCCGTTAGGTTTTAACATTCCCATTTTATGTTTTTGGCAGAAATGATTCTCATAATCATATTTAACATATACTATTGTAGCCCTCAAGCTCTTTTACATTAGAAAGATAGCAACATACGCAATATAGGAGAAAAGCAACAGAAGTCTGATTTTTCAACTGCCCTAAAAATCTGAACAAAAAAATATTAACTGGAAAGGATCCTATATATGTAATTTATAAAGTTTTTTTGTTATACCTATAGCTTCCAATGATAATCACAACTATTCCTTAATTTTCAGTTTCTCTCACATATGAAAGACACTTCTCAAAGCTTGTTTGTGAGTGATTCTATTTTTTTATACAATGCTTTCCCCAGTTATAAAACCCATTCTCTGATGAGTCTCTTCAATCTCTCTAAAATTACACTAACTTCAAGAAGTGGGTATATGGTGAGAATATAGACTTCCCTGTTTTATGAAACCTGTAACATCATAGTGTACTTTGATTTTTTAAATTTAAGCTGTTAATAAATATGTTAATGAATTATATATTATTAATCATATATAAGCTTAAATAAATAACTTACTCTGATAAAATTACTTAAAAGCTACTTGCTGCATGTCTAGAATTCTAGGAGACCAAAAGAAATAACCCTCACTGACTTGGGGGGGTGGTGGTGTTTGTTGTTTTGTTTTTGTCGTCTTTGGAGAAAAACTTCTTAACCCCCTGCCCCCCCCCCACTTTTGTGTGTGTGCATGATTATGCTTTTCTTATGTCCTTTATAGAGGAGGGTCAACTTCTGTAACAGGCAGCAAATAAAGGAATGAGGTGGATTTTGATGCAACGTGGGTATGTCATATGTTAAGCTTAAAAAGCGAGTTATAAAAGAATGTGTGCTTTCTCTAGGCATCTTGAAGACACTGATTATGGGAATAGCAAAACCTGAGCAGTGAGTATGCTTTAACAACTGAAACTGAATCAAGTATTCCTCCCCCCAGTCCCAGAGAATGTGTGTGAGGTGATTGATGATGAGGATTTTATAGATAGCAGGTAGAATACTTGCAAATATGCTAAGCAGTAATAAACAATTTGGCTTGCCTATGTGAAATTTTCAAAGAAGTGATTCATACTTTTTTGAGAGCACCCTACTGAGCTCACAGTTGGTTTGGGAGAAAACTCAAAAAGATCTGTGCATTAAAAATGGCTTCCTAGTTCTTCACACTCAATTATTCTACCATCAAGAAAGATCTCTCTAAAGACAGACTAATGGAGACAAGTGGCAGACTGCAAGAAACACACTGCTGGACCTTAGCATGCATAAGGTCAGTTTTTCAAAAAGGCCTTTGTGGGGGAAATAAAGAATATTTATTCATAGTGTTTCCAATTGTTCTGTAGTAGGGTGGAATATTTCATTTTCAGTAAAAATTGTTTTCTAAACTTAAAATACAGCTTGATTTTTTTTTTTTTTTGGGGGAGGCTGGTATGTTAGTAAAGTTAAAAACCTATATCAGAAGTTTTTGCTTGACTTTTGCATTATGCCACATACATCCATGCCAGACTATAACCTTGAATTCTCAACCATTGATTGGTAATGAAGAACTGGTTTTCACTTAAAAATTGTTAAAGCAGTGCGAATTTGAGACTGAGAAGGAAGCCTTTTAATTTCTTTCATTCTCTTACCTCATACCTCATTACAGTCTCTGAGGTTTCAACTGAACATTTCATTTCATATGAACTACTTTCTCACCTAGATAGAACCTTTGTTCACACATATAACACTTCTTCAAGGAAAGCAGGATACAAATGCCAAGAATTCTCAGATAAAATTGCAATTGCCACATGTCAAGCAGGCCTGTACAGAATACTTACTACCATGCAACATGGCTTTTTCCTTTTGGTTGTTGTGTTTATAAGCTTTCAAGTGTGCAGAGAAACATATACAAAACCATTTAGATATAAAGCATGCTGAATTTTCAACCATAAGAAAGAGGCTTCTAATAATAATACAGTAATGCTGCATAATGATCCAGCTACAGGATACCTTTATAATCAAACGCCGGCGAGTAACTCGGGTAGTGACTCTCCGTTCTTCCTCTGAGCTTGAATCACTCTCACTGTCTTTCATGTCCTGATAAATGCATTTTTAGTATAATTTTACCATCACATTTAAAATAAAAGACATTCTGAGAAGGGAAATCAAGAAAGAATTACATTTACTTGCTGTTTTTCCCCCCTAAGGAAAATCATGATGTTTATTTGTGAGAATCTTAAAAAATTTTAAGTGGAAGAAAATTTTTGAGCAGGATTCTAAATGAAATTACTTTGTGTACGTATGTATGCATGTGTGTGCGTGTGTAGATGTATTATGTGTACATATATATGCAGGTAATGATCAAGATAATTAAATTATAAATACAATCATCATAGAGACTTTCACATCAAAACTACATGCTACTAATTATTAGTTTGAAGAAACATTCATATTCCTTTTTAAACTAGTTTTGTCTATATTCATTTGACTTGAATGTATAACCTTATAGTTTGGGTCACACTTCACTTGATCTATAGAAAGAGACATAATATTTCTGATTTTTATAAAATGAAGGAGTAATGTAAAACATGTGAAAGTTTGAAGTTATTTTTTTTAAGGACTTGATATGAAATTAGAATATAAAATAGAACAGTTCAGAGACAAAAAATATGGTATAGACATAATACAGTAATTGCACAAAATGTTAATTTTTATTTCAGTAAGGGTAGAAAATGAGGAGAAACCACCAAGCAGCAAGTAGTTCCTAACTCCAAGGGAAAAATATCTTTAGCTTCTACTTAAGTGCCATGGTTTATTGAACGGTTTTATTTCTAAATTTTAATTGTCCCAGAGATAGAAGTCGTACTTAACATCCATTGGAAAAATGAATGGCAGGCAATATTTGTAAAAATAGTGAGAAAAGAACAAGTAAAACTGCTACAGGAGGAATATGTGTCAGATAAAATGCTTTAGGAAATGTGAGTAGAATAGATAATAAACTAGGCCATTACCTTTTTTTCACCAAAGGTAAATAAGACAAGTATTTAAAGATGTTATAGTAATATCAACCTTGACTTTGTAGGAAATTTCATCTGAACAGAGTATCTCACTGAATAATATAGTTTCAAAAAGAAATAATAGCCAGTATCTTTGCAAGGAGCAAGAACTTGAAAATGAAGTGCATTTTCAGAAAAGGACAGTAAACTTGGGACACTTAGGATGATCTAAGTATCGTGAAAGGAGGCCCCATAACAGCTTAAAAAGGCAGAAAAAGGAAAAAGAAATTCATATTAACAAAAGAAAAGAATTACCCATCAGCATTCCAGGATTAATGGGTTAAAGAAATGAGGCAAAAGGGAATACTGAATTATCTATACATAGAATTTTAATTGGCGAAAGATTTTCACTTGGATAAATTCAAAAGCAGAACATAAGTTAATGCAAACAAACACTAACGACAAACTTAGTCAGTTATATCATAATCCTGTCAACAATCGTCTGAGACCAGCCCTTTACATAAACAAAATGTGCCCATTTGGTCAATGTTTCAGTTTCCATTTTCTCCCTGGAGTGTTCACCTTAAGGTAAAGGGCAGAGAGAAGACAGCAGTAGAATCTCAAGATCAGAATTTCTTTAGAGAGCTCTGTAGGAATTGGTAAAGGGGAAAACTAGGAGACCAAATGGGATTTTCTTAGTATGCCTTGCCATGGGTCGCTGCATGGAAAAAGGTGAAAAATAGCAGAATTTTACCTTGTAACAGCAGACAGTCATCCGTGTAAGAGCCGCACCCGGACTTTTGACCTGATTTTTTAGGGGATAAAAAGGGGCTGTTTTCTGAAATCATACATCAGATGACCTAGCTGGATGCAATTATACTATGGTATAACTACAAAAATATCCTGAACGTCTTTGGATTTCTTGTGAGGTCAGGCTTATATCTCGTAGAAGCTTTAATTCCATTATGGATTGTTATGGTCATGAAGTCTTTATGTATGAGAGTAGGACTGATGACCAATACCAAGAGCACAAACTCATTTATAAGAAATCTTGAAAAAGCTAAGTTTTCATGCAGTTTTATGCCAGTGGCCAATGCTTATGTACATGTACACAGATACTGCACATGTACACACATAGCAGTGCTTATTTACAAGTGTACAGTAATTTGCTTTCAGAACTTCCGTTGATTTTTAACAGGCTTTTGCAGAATAAATCTTCACAGGTAAATTATCACTATGTTATTGTTTCTCCCTATATTTTGTGGGCGCATTTTAAAAGGGATCATTCCATCCAAACTCATATTAAGAGTCAAGTCAAAGAAATCAACATTCAAAACCTCACTTGGCAGGAAAGAAGTCAAAGGCCTGAGAAACTCAACAACTTAAACAAAATAGCTTAAAAGAAAAAGAATCAATTCAGTCAGTGTTTAATTACAGGTGGTGGGAGAGTCATCTTTTGCTTAAATGATATCCTAAAGTAATCTACAGCTCATTTAAGTCTTCACCAATCTTACACACCCAAGCAACTAACAAGGAAGAAAATAGATGGAGTAGAATTTTATTTCCTCTCACTTTCCCTTCTAACAAGCAGAAAATAGTAAAAGATAGTCTGCAGAAGGGAAAAAGAAAGGACATGATTAGTTAGTTGATAAGCAGAAATTAGCTTTCGAGTGATTAGGAGTTTATAAGTTTTTCTAAACCTCAAATTAACCATGAACTCATTATTTTAGAAAAGACTTGTTTTCCCTTCCAAAACACTGCAGTGCATCTTAAGTGAACTAAACATGTCTCAGGGAAAACTGCAAGTGCTACTATTATTAAGACGTATAACTCTCAATCTATGTCTATTGCATAGTTGTCAAAAAGACAAAAATTGAGACAGCAGAAAGCAGTAAAAAATGTAGGAGATATGCTGATTTTCATTTTCTTTGAAATAGTTTTAGTATCTAAAAATGATAAACCTGAAAGAATTTTAAAAAATCTGTTAGATAGTTGCACAAAAACATGTATATACAAAGAGGAGACAAATAATACTGTCATAGTAAGGTTTTAAAATTATTAGAAACTTTTTAGTATCTAAAAATGATAAACCTGAAAGAATTTTAAAAAATCTGTTAGATAGTTGCACAAAAATATGTATATACAAAGAGGAGACAAATAATACTGTCATAGTAAGGTTTTAAAATTATTAGAAACAAATGTTAAGACAATTATCAACTTAGATATAAAAATTATAAAAATGATACTTCTAACTTTAAATTTCTAACTGTTGTCAACCCACCTCATTTTAGACTTGTGAATTGTCTTTTCAATTTTTGAAACACACTTTCAGACAATCGACCTTACAGAATAGAACACTTAGATGGGTCAGATGCTAAAGACTCTTTAAATTATGCCAAAGAACCAAAAAGCGTCAGAATTATTATCTGCCACCTATAAGAAAGAAGGCTGGGTTGGGAGTTAGGAAACCTAAATCCAAGACAGAATTAATATTGGACCTTAAGGTTCTTTTCCCTCCTGAATGGCTAAAGAGATGTTTTATTCCTTTTTCCGACTCAATGAATGAAGGTATGATGAAATGGCGTATGTTTAACTGAGTACTTTCTTTACCTCTACCATTTGGGCTACAACTTCCCACATTTATAATTTGGAAATAGTAAGTAACGTTAGGCCCAGTGTTACAAGATTGACCAAAGGAAGCAAAGCATCAATACTTTCAATTTAAATGAGAGCATACTGGCTAGTCTAATGACATACCTTTTGCTCAGATCCACTGGACCCCTCTTCTTCGTGGAGGTTAAGCTTTGGCTTGCCATCTGCAGAAGTCCTACTCATCTTTTTCATACTGACAGGCACACAGGGCTTAGGCTCTTCTATTACAAGCTTGCTGGTTTCTTCCAGAGATTTCTGATATGCTGCTAGTGGCGATGCTGGTTCCTCAATACGACCAATCCCATGTATTTTTGGTCTCAGAGTTTCCTTAGCACTCTGTTTGCCTATATCATTTTGGGATTCTGGAAAGTAAGATTTTGTCTTTGCTTCTGGAGTGACTTCTGCATGGCTTCCATTTGCTTCAAATTTTCCAGGTTCACCTTTGAGATATGAGGTAATGGAATCTCTACACTGGTCTGGGCTGTAAAAGATAAAATGTACAAATTTACAGTGGCAACACATGGCTGAAAATGGGCTTCAACCATTATTTAAAAATTACTTCTGAAGGTGTAAAATAGAAAGGCGTGAAAAATCTAGGCACTGAATTTAAAATGTGAGGGGCTGTCATGGGTGGGGAGTAGTGGGGGAGGAGGTGCTACACAGGCTCCAGGCATCTCCCACACCCCCACTCCCAACCTGGCTAGTTATGCTTTTTTTTTTTTTCCCCCCAGCTCTGCAGCTGCTTGAATTCTATATCTTGAAGAGTGACCTAAAGAGGCTCATAGACATACCTAGAGTTCCAACCCTACTAATCTAAAAGGGGAGAATATTTCAATATGCTTTTATATCATTAGTTAAAAAACAAACAAACAAAAACTGACAAAGAACAAGATGAATTTCTGTAATGGAAACTCTAGTATCTCCAAGAACCACAAATTCCAGGTTTTTGTATGTATTTTCAATTGTTTATCCTGCCATCATGCTTTGCCAACTATGATATCTTGACTTGAGTCTTTTCTTTCTCCACCCCTGATGCTGCTGATGTCACTGGTGATCAGAGTGTTGGTGGACACCCTTTGCCTATACTTAACCATGAGAACTGTTTTCCCTTAACTGCTAAAGATCTTTTTCCCCCAACAATTTCTTTACAATTTACTTCTTTTTTGGGGTGGCTGGCTGGTACAGGGATCCGAACCTGTGACCTTGGTGTTGTAAGGCTGTGCTCTAACCAACTGAGCTAACCAGCCGGCCAAGTATTCTTATTTTTAAAGATGATTAGAGTGACTTTCTTAGAGCGTACAAATTCACCCCAAATCACAAAGTGCTTGGTAACGTTAGTGGGATTTGAACCAATGTCTCAGAGACTCTAGACATTTACCTTTCTAGAACAGGGTCAGTATAAAATTGAACCAGATTCATGATCAGGGCATTATTTTGGTTATAAACAAATGTCTATCATGGCAGTATTATTTGGAGTAAAGAATTACATATGTTTCAAATAATGAAAAATAATATTCATGTAGAAAAATAGAAGGATATATTTAAAAGTGTTTTTCTTTGATGACTTTTTTGCTTCTCTGCATTTTTTACATTAAGATATTTTTAAAAAATGTGCATAGAGGAAAGGAAACCCACCAAAATGTTAATGGCGGTTATTGCTAAATGATGGAATTATAGTGATTTTTAAAAATATGTATTTAAAACAAACTATTAAAAGAACAGGCAACCTGTGTTTCACTTTCCTTTTTTGAGAACAGCCATACCTGTCATCCAGCCGATCTAGTAACCCACCAGTTATTCTGCGAGCTTGAGCAGGGGACTCTAGGTTTCCACTTGATGTCTCGTTCTGCCAACCTGTAAGTGAAGACATTTCCAGTTCTGCTTGCTGAACATGCTTAAGAATAGCCTGTCCTTTTTCTTCTGTCATCTCCTCAGAATCTAGTCCTTCTTCAAGTTGAATGTCCTCAAATAGAGATTTGAGTGTTTCTTCCATCATCTCCTCATCAGGACCAGATTTTCCTTTCTCCTGCTGCTCAGAGCTTAATCTTACTTTTCTAGTCTGTTTCAGTGGCTCTGCTGTTTTAACATCTTTTGGGACCCCAGCCAAACTTCCGAGGTATTGAGGATACTCACTCAGACATGTATCCTCCAACTGGCTCTCATCTACATCCACTGCTTCAGGCATTTCTGTTAAAGGCACTGAGTCTTCCAGTTTGCTGTCTTCTAAGGAAGTGTCTTCGGCAGTTACAACTGGAGGTCCATGTGCAGAATGCTCTACATTTCCCTGGGAAGGCACTAACCCATCACTCAGTCTACTGGGGGTTCTAAGGGGAGACTCTATGCTAGAGATATCACTGAAATAATCATCTTGCTGGAAAGGGGTGGGTGGTGTGTAGTGCAACCCTGTAGGGGTTTCCAGTTCCACTTGAAGGGAAGGATAACCTATGGAAGACAGTACATTTGGACTGACTGGAATGAATTAGAAAACATCAAACAAAAACACATGGGATGACTAAAATTATATCAGGTATGAAAATGTATGATGAATTATAGAATAATGTTGATATATTGCTTTAGTTCAATTAAATGTAATACAATGAAATTAAAAAACCTAGTACAAACTACAGTAAAATAGAATACTAATAAAGATACTGATTTTCTATCAATTTTGATACTTTTAATACAGTAACTTAAATATGCAGACTAACTTAATCCAATATAAAGTTAGTTCTCATTATGTAAGATCCATTAATTCCACAGCCAAATTTATTATCTTTCTAGTTTTAGCATGCAAAATCCATACTGTGGTGGACTGAATATGACAAGCCACAAGAAACCAATTTTTGTAATTAATTGCCTATAACTTATCTTAAGAACTGTACATATATGAGCAATGCAATCTGACTAATACTTATTTCACATGAAATTTATAGCAAAGAAAAGTGAATTTAATCTTTGGAAAAAATGATCATTAGATTTTAGAGCAGTAGCACTGGGGGAAAAATGTAAAACGATGTTAGGAAAAGAATTTAAAAAGCAAAGTAGTAGAAAAGACTCCATGTAAAGTTTTCGTGTGTTGTAATGTGACAGATGAAAGTACTGTGGTATAGTATATATATGGAGTTCTTGATGAAGTTGGTGACAGGGTTCACTCAAAACCACGAATCAAATAAAGAGGAAAAAGAAATGATACACAACAGACACTAGGAAAACCATTTGCAAAGAGCACTTTGAATAGTCCCAACAATACTATGAAACACAGAGTTTATTAATCAGCCTACAAGAAAGGGAAGGAGGGAGCTAATCCCTTGTTTTAAACATTGCTATGTGGACTTTGGAAGTATTTTTCTGCCTTAGCAGAGAGAAAAGTCAACAGTGGTCTGGTCATGGTGAGGAAAGGAAGTTTCACAAAAGTTCAATGAAGAGGAGAGACAGGAAAAAAAAAAGGCAACGAAATACATTTTCTGAATTATTGGTGCACAAAACCAAAGATTAATTTTTTCATCAGTTCAAGGTAAACATCAGCTTAGCTGTTGTTGTACATTCAAATTGTTATAGGTAATTGTGCATTTTTCAGTTATGGTCACCTATAAACCAGAATGTTGTTGAAAATTGGCTAAGATTAGCTGAGGTTTATAGTTTGCGTAAGTGAAATTTACTTCATGCACATTTTTTCTAAATTTCCCTAAAAATTTCAACAAGGAATATAAAATATTAAGAAACAGCAACAAAAAGCCCTTGTGAATTTATTTTAATGATATCCTGATTTTTAAATGTTAAAATTAATTGAAGTTTTCAAGGCCATCAAATACTTCTGTTGTGTTCCGTTGATCTTTTTTATTAGAGTTACTTTTCTTAAACTTTTTTTAAAATAAAGAATATTAAAAGAATCTAGAAACTATAGCTTGTCAGTAATTCAGAGTTTGATAAAACAATGCACTATATTTATCTAGTGCAAAAAGAGTTTGGTTATCAATATGTGGCTTCACATATAAGACAAGTCCTTGAAGAGAGTTTTTTTCTGAGGTTTCTCTAGTATCTATAAGCTTAAAAAGAAACAGCTTCTGACTTTATTCCCCATTATTTGTGTTATGCGGATTAACAGGTATGCTTTAACTTTTCTATTGACTTTAACTTTAGTAATCATAAACTTTGGAAGATTTTGAGATCTTTTCCCATATAACATATTCAGAATTAGAACTTAATGACTCTTGTTAGTCTAACTTTGCCAGTTTTCAAAATGGAATAATCACCCTATTTTTCAAAACTTGAGGAATAGTTGAAAAATATCCCTGGCTCCTCTTCCTACCTCCATATTATATGAACATTTTCTACTCAGAATTCATTATAGGAATAAATTGCCATTTGTGAAGGGAAGACAGGACTATCTTGAAAAATACAGTAAGATATATATTATGCTTTCCTTAATACTTTGATGAAAAAAGCCCCAATTTAGATAATGATGGAAAGATGACAATATATAAATTAAGCTAATGTGAAAGAGGAATTATGTTATTACTAATATCTATGCTTGTTGAATTAGAAGTTATGCTGCCTTTATATACAATAGATCAAGTAGGTTTTTTTCCAAAGAATAAATGGCAGCATATGAAGTTAAAATAATGCTAAATAACTAAAGCGCTTATTTGAGTGGTATATTAGACTTTTTCAGTGCATGCTTAAATACTTAGTCCCCAAACAGTAATTCACCATTTTACCTTAACAATTTGAACACTATATGCTTAAACTTCACTCAATACCTTGCTTATTTGGTAAAAATGGCTCACAATTCGGCTTTACTTATGTATAAATACAAGAGATCACTAACTTTCTAGGTTAATATAAAAATTAAAAATAACAAAAGCAATATATACTCTAGGTATTAAAGTTTCTTCCATTTGATCATATAAAATATTAGAAACACCAACTGTTTCAGATAACTTATGTTTTCATAACTCATTATTTGTACTTTATAATAGACATTTTCTTATTTTTCTCTGATATGAGAGTGTTTATTTGCAGAGTCTGGCAGAGAAAATGCTGTGAAAATGAGAAATTAAGTCAAGCAAATCACAGTTTAGTTGGTTTTAAGTGACTGCCTTGTCCTACTGCATTTTCAAATTTTATCAAATGATTAAATAAATATGAACACTAAATTCATTTACCATCAACAGGGTCATGGAAAACACTGTTCTCATCTGCAAAACTTCTGGTGCCTGAAATATTTCCATAATCAAATATCGGTCCTTCTAGCAGCGTCACAATATCTATTCGATTAATTTTTGTCAAGACCGAAGTTAAGGCATCAGCTGAAAGGGAGAAAAAAGGTTGAAAACCCAATTAGATTATTTTCTTTGGGCCAGCACAATATCCACACAAAGGCAGGGCTTTCTTGGCCCTCCTGACATTTTAACTCCTCCTTACGCCCGCTCTGCAATATCACTGTCCAGAGGGCCCCAGAATGCTTGCTGCTACAAGGAAGATGTTAAGGTCTTAAGAATCACTTTATAAAGCTATGTGTGATGACAACAGCATACACTCCACTGTGACAGAGCAGATGGGCCTTAAAATAGCTGGACTCCTTTTAGTTAGAAAGGGGATCTAATAAAATCTTAAACAAGTTCCTTTCCTGTTAGAATGTCAAAATAGGTCACCCTCATACAAGGAGGCTTCAAAAAATTCATGTAAAGATTGGTATTGTGGGGCCGGCCCGGTGGCGCACTGCTACAGTGCGCCGCTTGGGAAGTGTGGCGGCGCTCCCGCCGAGGGTTCGGATCCCACATACAGACCAGCCGCTCACTGGCTGAGCGAGGTGTGGGAGCAACACCGAGGGTTGTGATCCCGTAGCCTGTCCCGGTCCGGTACGGGCGCGACACTGAGGGTTGCGATCTGTTGCCGGTCACGAAAAAAAAAAAAAGATTGGTATTGTGTTTTTAATTGTTTTTCCATGAACTTTTTGAAGTACCCTTGTATTTGATGCTTAGCATTTTAATGACTTACTGAGGTCAGTCTGACACAGGCAAATCCACAATAACTTATTCCACATTGTTGTGGGTTGGCACTTGCCAAAGTATAGCACTGCTCCCCCCCTCCACCAACAAAACCAAACCCAACCCCAACAATATTAGATAATTCTCTGCCACCAGAGACCAAACTCAGTAAAACTATTTCTTCCCCTAATTTGATCCTATCATCCTCCCTGCATATCCACCTCAGGCCACAGCAATAACTTCAGAGTGTTTCTGATGACTGTCCCATAGAATTATTTTTTCATTTTTGATGATCATGGAGAGAACAGACAAAATGCAAAAAATTTCCCTACTACTTGCTTTACAAAAAGCTTTCTAAAAGCAGTTTACAATATTAGCACTAAATTAAAGTATAACTTCAAAGGGCTTGCTATTACTTACTTTATGATCACTCCGATTTTATTTTTCTATATTATACCAAAATTTATAGACATTTTTGAACAATATTTAAATGAACCTATCAGTAGGCTAGTAGGCTTATCTAAAATACTGGATATACACAGTTTTGAAAGTTAAAGTAATATAATTTCAGCATACTTGTAGCATTTTTTCCGTCTCTGGTAACCCATTTTTTTAATAACATGAAGCTCTGAGAAATTAAAGAATTTGGATTTTCCACACGTATTTGATTGATTTCATCCACTGAAAAATTCAGTTCCCTTGCCAGTTCTGTAAAAAGAAAAAGAATTCCTAAGATTGCATATTCTACTTTTACCACACACATTTCATAAAAACAAAACAAAAATGGGGGAAGGAATTCTATAGTAAAACCCAAGTACAGCCTTGGGCATTAATTTTTATATATTTGATTTCACAGGAAACTAGTGATCATAGAGGATGCTGCCTGATTCTTTTAATTCAGCCAAATTCTCTGCAATTTGAACAAACTGCATGTGAGATAGGTAGGGGCATACAGTTCATATACATGGCATGAGAGATGCTGGTAGGGTTCGCCCTAGGCAATCTTCATGAAGTACATCTTTTACTCACAGAATATTCCACTCTATATGCCTTCAAGTTTCATGAACTCCACTCAGGAGGTTAAACAGTGACTCCAGGCCAAATTATTGTATATGGTATATAACCACTTGTGTAAAAAGTATAGGGAGATAGCTTTCTGTCCATCTACATGTATGTACTAGTACACTTAATCTTATAAATGCAGAGAGTCTTTGGAAAAATACATATGATCTGACTATTAGTGGCTGCCTTGGGAGAAAGAAACTAAGGAATCAAAGATGGGACGGAGACTTCTTTTTCACTGTATTTTTTTTTTTTTTGGTAACATGAAAAAAAAAATTATCAGGAATGTATTACCTTAAATGATTATAAAAAGAAATGGGTAAAAATGCTCCCATGGAAAAGGAAGTGGTCAAGATTCTATCCCCCTTAATGAATATTTCCAGCAATTTGGCAAAATGCATTCAGAGGTTCAAAAAAGTGCATATCAAGTGGTTCACATCTAGAAATTTATCCTGGCGATATATCAGGGTTGTATACAGTGACCTTATATACATGAATGTTCACTGCAGGCTTGTACTACTGAAAATCTTTATACAATCCACATGTTGAACAAATGGAAAAGAGTTAATGTAAGGCAGTGGCTGGCAAACCGTTTTGATCATGGCCTACCGTTAGAAATACATTGTATATAATGGTGTTTATATAAATGAAACCATATCTTCATGGAGCAAAACTAATACATGTAATACACATTTTCTTTTATATATTCCATTTACAAACAAAAAGCATGAATTGATTTTCATGACTCATTAGTGCACTGTGACCCATAGTTAGAAAAAAAGTGTCATAAGGAGTATCTACTGGATATGCTATTTATCCATTTAAGTCAAGATCAGAGAATATTTAATTTTGTAAAACACTATGTAGTTACAAATAAAAGCAGATTACATTGTATATACAATATTGTAAAAGGTTTTTATTTTTTAAAATTAAAGCACATTAACATGTTAATAGTGGTTTAGAGGGACAGATTTATATTTTGATCTCTTAAATGCTCAATTCTCCTAATAATCTTCACTGAGTATATATTAATTGTAATTAGAGAATTTTTTTAAGTTCCTCATCTCTTTGTATTTTAAGAGACAATACTCCCGTGCCCAACAAGCCCTCACCACCAAACTATAGCCATTGCCTGGAGATTCAGGGAAAAGCAGAAACAAATTGACATTAAAAATTTTAGTTTCATGGCTTTATGTCTGGCTATTCTATACCACATCTTCTCTGAAAATTTACTGACAAACTAGGGATTATTTTTGCTTAAGGAAAATAATAACTATGGGCATATAACACTGCAAAATCAACATTTGCTCCTGTGTATTTCTATATTACAGTGTCCAATTTTAAAATATAAATATTAATTTGATGTTAGCAAATATTTATACATAACCAATTACTATTAACTCTCAACCACCTGCAAAGGTCTACTCAGATCACCTCTTTCAGAGCCCCACCCAGCTCCTGGTCATTAGCAGTGCACCTGAGAGCAGGGGACTGGGTGGATGGAGAGAGGAAGGTTTGGTATGTGGTAGTGGGTGAGGGGGTGGGCAGGGGAGTTGAGAGCATTTAAAGGAAAAAAGTTTAGATGAACTTGTTTCCAACTATTAGTTTCACATTCTTTTTAATAACAGAGATAACTGTATGAAATGTATGTCCTAATGGTATGCAAGAAGACTTTAGATATGACAGTAATTAACATTTAATTATTGTGTTTTTAGGCTGTGCCATAAAGTACATTCCTATAAAACTTGAAATTTCTCAGATTCACGTGAGGTAGGATTTACGGAGCCTTGTTAAGATCAAAACTACAAAGCAGAATTGTCAAACTGACACAGAACCTCATCTTTATCTTGAATGAAGCAAAATTAAGCCAAATATTCCTTTCTATAGTACATCGATCATAAACTGTTTTATTTCACAGACCTCAACTATTTTTGTGAATTAAATATATTTATTTGCTTGTATCCTATTTTTTTAAAAGTTTAATTCAAAATTTAAACTTACTGCAATTCCTTTGATTTCTTTATATACAGGGGTACTTTGAAGTACCCTCATAGATACGGGAGGTAATCAGTGTTTCCCATTATCAAAGTAATATAAAGTTTTCCTTGTCAATAAATCTTTGAGCATAAAAATGAGTCCACTTAAAGAAAAGCATCAGGTAAATATAGACATACAGATTGTATGTGTATATCATAAAATTGTGAAGATGACTAATGAATGACTAAAATTCATGAAACCTAGGCATGGGTTAATTGACCTGTTGCCCAAGAGAGCTATTCTAAGAACTTTAACCATATCACAGAATTTGGATAACGTAAAAATGATAGGCCTTAGCTGTTTTCCTTTATGCCACAAAATAAATTTGTTGTTAGGTAAAGAGTTATTCTATATTACCAGAAATGGTATTGTGAAGAAAATGCTTAAATTTGAGATAAAATAAGATTTAAAATTCTATTCCTTACTGTGTGTGTGTGTATAGAAAGAGCTTTGGAAAAACACGGTATACAAGGTACTACCAGTAATTATCTCTAGGTAGAATAGAATTATGGATGATAAAAAATGTTTTTTCCTACTTAACTTTTCAATTAAAAAAAATATAACGAACTGTTTGTGAATAAGACAAAAATTAAGAAACTGTATTTGTTCCATTCAGGAGTGTATACACTTACCTGTCCAACTAAGTCCCAGGTGATCGGCTACTATTGCCATCCTGATATCTGTCCGTTCACATGGACTCTGTGGACCTACGATTTATAATTTCTTAATTAAAATAATCATCAAGAAAGATATGATACTGGAAAATTGCTTTTAGCAGTACTCAGATTTTACAGAGAGACTAATGCTAACACTGTACACTGAAATGTGTCCTGATCACCTACATGAACACTTCTTTTCACACAGCTCTCTTGTTTTTCACCTCCATAAGGCCAGATGTCAGACTACATGGATGCTCAATGTAATGGGACTGAACATGCTGACAAGCTAGCTATGTTACAACAGTTACAGAATTGATGATGGGATTTCAACATCTGTGCTTTTACTTTGACAGAATCATATCCATTAGCACATTAAAAGAAAAGTTGTTCATCTTGAATGACACCAATATCTTCAGCATGCTTCCCTAGCTGTCTACAGTGTAGTTTGATTAAAAGGAAGAAAGAAGAGTATATAAGACAACACATACAAATGACAATGACAGAATGAGAAACTACAGTTAAGTCACTCCACAGGCAATCACAACAGTTCATGCACTAGAGTCTACGAGTTGGAAAGTGTGTACAAACTATGCTGGTTCTCCAGGATGGGAGCAAAGAGTGCTCGAGAAACCTGACTGCCTTCATTCTCACCAGTCCTCCTACTGCTCCTTTTCTCACTGCCGGCCTTTTCACTCTTTGATTTTAAAGGTGCTGCCTCTGTTTTCTTATCTCTAGCAGACTTCGTTGTAACTGAAGGCTGGCCACCCCGGGAAGTCTCGGACAACGACGTGTTTCTTGATGTACTTTCTTCTTCATCGGACAACTCGGACTGCATCTTTTTGTCTTCTTCAGAGAGACGGTCCACAAGCTTTAAGGTCTCACCACTAATTCCCTTAAAATATTCAATGGAATGTTTACATACTTCCTTGAGCTGACTTTTCCTAACTTTAACTGTGGTGGTGGTGGGGGTGGTGGTGACAAAGGTGGATCTTACCTTTACTGGCAACTTGGATGGAATCTGTCTGGCCTTGCCTTTCTCTGGCTGCTCTTGCTTTAGTGTGGTACATGCTTTTCTAACTGAAACTGTGTTATCCCTGTGTGTGTTTTTTACTGGAATTCTGGACTTAACATCTACACACGAAGTAAGGGTTTTGGTTTTCTCAGATTGACTAACCTGCTTCACTTTACTTGCTTTAATGTTTGGCACATGGTTTGGTGGGAAGATATCTTTTGGTGAAGTGGCCTTTATGGGAAGTTTGGATTTTTGCCTAATCCCTATTGATTCCTTTGTCTTTTGCTGCTCTCCAAGAACTTTCTGCTTGTCTGTTACACAGTGTCCTTGTAGTACCCCTGTCTTTTTTCCTGATGCAACTTTCACTGGATTAGCTGTCTCTGTGGTACAAGTGGGTGCAGAATGTTCTGTCAGAACTATGTTACTTGTAATATTATCTGTCTGCATAGTGGAAGAATCCAAATTGTTGTTGTTATTAAAGTTATCTTTTTGAAAATCATGTTTCTCTTGGGGCCTAATGCCCATCTGGCTATTGTCTGTATTTGAAATCATTGTTATAGTTTCATTTTCTAATCCCTGACCACTGGTCACCACAGCTTCTATCTTATCTGTTACTTCTCCAGGGCCTTCTTTCTTCATGGTCATAGTGGATGCAGAGATTCCCATTTTTATAGGCGTGCGCAACTTGGGGTCAACTTTAGAGGTGTTAGTGGCTGCTGCTGATTTCTCCAGGGAGCCACTACTGGATGTGCCTTCCTGACACTCTCCGCTGGTCGGGATGCTGGGGTTGGGGTCGACTGTAGGTGCCTCTACATTTCTCTCTAGATTGGTTTCTACAGGGGTGTCCCCTGACTGTAGCTGTGGTGTGGCAGTAACCATACTTTTATCCCCTTCCCCCTGGTCCCCTGACTTCCCTTCAGAAGTATGCTCACCAATCTGGAAAAATTGGAGCCTCTCTTCAACAAAATCCCTCTTGCTCATGTCAATTGCACCACTGCGAGTCATCTCAAACATTTTTCCTTCATGAAATGGGAAGGGGTTAGGCTCACTAGTTGGGGTACTTTCATCAGTTGGCGTTCTGGCTGGCGTTGTATCAGGGGTTGTTGCTGGAGAGCGGTCTTCCACTGCGAGACCAAATGGCTTAGTTTCATCTTCCCGTGACTTATTGTCAAAAACTTCATCATCCCCTCGGTTATTAGACCAAGGGTCAAAATCTAGACCTTTGGTAGCTACTGTTTTAAAAGGAGTGGCAAATTCTTCATCTACTTTGTAGCTGAAATAAGTATCAGGAAACACTGATCTGTCAGGATGTCTGCCTTCTAGTGTGAAAAACTGGGCCCCTGATTTCTGATCAGTCTTATCAGGAGGCTTTTCAGATGAAGAACTTTTAAAAGGTGGCTTATCTTCATCTGGTCCCACCTTTTCCTCCTCCTCAATAACTTCAAGTTTACTTTGGCTAAAAGAGCGATCAGCTGGCTTCAGAATGCCCTCTGTATTCCAGACATCTTTCTTAATTTCCATGGTTTGACTTGGGAGTTTGGAATCACTCTCTGTCAAACCATCATCTTCATCTTGCAGGTCATAGCCATCCAGAGAGTCGATCTCTGTGGCATCTGTGTCATGAGAAAACTCTGCTGTGGTAGCGATGGAACACTCAGTGATGGACTGGTCATTGTTCCCATTCTGAGCTGTTTCATTCTGAGGCGAAACAAGGCCAAAACCAAATTCATTATCTTTTCCAGGTCCATTACTTTCCAGTTCTTTCTGGCTGGAAGCCTTTTCAGCAGAAGCTTTGGATTTTGTCATTTCCTGTTGCTCATCATCTACTTCTTTTAATTTGAAGGTGTATTTTTTAACTGGAACTGGTTGATAAATAGATTCGTCATCACTTGAATCACTGACGTCTGCCCCAGGAGGAACTGGTGAAGGTGGCTGCACTCTGATGACTGGTTCCGCCAGTTGGTACTTGTCATGCTCATCTTGCAGACTGACTTCAATCATGTCAACCTCTTTTTCAATCTGGTCTGCATCCAGTGGTGGAGGAGGGGGAAATTCAATATAGGCAACTCTGTTACTTTTTGGTCTTTGGTTAGAGTCTTTGCTCACATCACTAGGCATTTCACGCTCAACTGTTGTTTCCTCCACTGTTGTCTGCTTTAGGGAGGTTGACTTGGCCTGTTCCTCCTCCTCAGATTCCTCAGAAACCTCGGGAATTGGGCTGGGTTTGCCTGGTATATAAGCTGTGAGTGAGTCTGGTGTCTTAGACGTAAATTCATAACTCACTTCCTCTGAGCTGGGTGTTTCTGGGGTTAAAGGGCTTTTCCCAGAGCTGTCTAGAAAGGATACTTGCTCTAGAGTATCATCTTCTGGACTACCTTGGGGAGAGGGAGGTTGCTTTTGCTGTCTAGTTGTATAAAAGGTCCCTCTGGTTTCTTGTACTGTCTTACATTCCTGACTTATGATTTTTTTTATACTTCCTTGTTGTATCTCCTTTTCATATTGCTTCCCCACTTGTACAAAACTGACATAAACGGGTAAAGTTTTTATCTCTTTCCCTCCCTCTGTCTGGGCTAGTGGTGCAAGTTTTTCCAACCCATCAATGGGACTGTGGTCGAATACATCACTAGAGGGTGAATCCTTTCCTGGGCTAAACTCTAAAGAATCAGGAGATTTGGTGGGGGAGGTTTCAGTTTCATCAAGAGGTGGGCATAAACCTACATAACTCTGATGTTTAGAAACCTTGCTGATTTCTGAATAGGTAATTTTTTCATCTTCTACAGAATTAAAGTGCTGTGTCTCAACTGTCTCTTTCATACTGGATTGGGACAATTTTTGTGATAGTTCATGTTTTGGAAATGTCGACTGCTCACAAAAACCATCAGGAATATTAGAAGACAGCATTCTCCTCTCATCAGCAACTCTGACTGGAATGTGTGACACTGCTGAGCTCTCACTTCTCCTGGAAGGTTGATCAGGAGATCCACCTGGACGTTCCCCTTCTTTAACAACATATTCCCTGTATAAGACTTTTTTTGAGGGAGATTTTACAGTCATTTCCTTAATTTCTGAGAAAGAGCCATTTGTTAACAATTTGGGTTCTCTCTCAGTCACAGACATAAATTCATTCTTTTGATCAACACTTTCACTCTCAGGGTGACCAATGTGATTCTCTCTTACATCATGAACAAGTACATGCGAAAGTTTTTCTTTCTGTGACTTATTATTAGTGGCTCCAGAACTTTCCCATGTTCTAAAAACCTTTTTGTCCCATGGTCCCTTAGATGCTAAATCTGAGGTTACATGACATGCCAAGTCTTTAGCCTGTTGCTCAGAAAAATAGTCAGGCATTGCTTTACTTGACATTTCAGTTCTCTGTTTTTGTACATCATCAAAGCCAGAATCATTTACAATCATTTCGTTGCTTTGGGCACGCTCCTCTTTAGCTTTTAATGCCATGATATCTTTTTGTGCAGGTATGCTTTCATCTGAGAGGTCTATGGCCTTCTGCTGTTTTTCTCTAGCAAAAACTTGGTAAACAGGTAGCTTGCTCTCCTGTATTTTTTTAACTGGTATTCTGGATTGGCCATCTGGCTTTTTGTCTTCTTGAGACATGTCCTTACTTTTTGTATGTGTACCTTGTTCAAATTTTAATCTAATGGAACTGAGTTTAGATTGTTTGAGCTGAAATCCAGACTGGGGCCCTTCTGGTGCTTTGCTCTGGGAAATACTTCCTTTGGCTTCCACTGCTGACTTGCTGTCCTCAGTCTGTTGGGAATGAACCCTTTTCTCCGGGCTGCAGGGCAGACTGGATGCTCTCCTCTCCTCCTCCTTGAGGAAGCCTTGTCCATCACGGCCCTGCTGCCTTGCCTTAACCCATTCATCACTGGATGCCAACAGTTCTGTTAGTAGTGCTTTCTCAGGGCTGCTACTGGTAGAGCTTTGAGAGGAGTATTCTTTTCCATTTCTAGGGTGTGGCTTTTTCTCTGGGGAGTGCAGTTCATCATTTAGCTTTTCAGTTTTGTCACGAAAAAACTGTGACACTTCAGTCAGCTTTTCTTCAGCCTCCTTCACAGTCCTGTCCACCCTATCTTCATATATCAACTTCTCTCTACCTCTGTCTAATCTGTCCTCAGTAAAGCGCATCCACATGGCATGTTTTTGATTACTAACATCGCCAGAATAGTGCAACACTGTCACTTTATCAAAATGCTCATCTTTAGACACTTTCCCTATACCATTTTCAGACACATCTTTATAGATTTTGGAGAGAATTTCTTTTTTGGGGGCAGTGGCTACTTTTTCTCTGGACCGCTTATCAGACCCCTGTAACTCTGAGCTAGGGGGTCCTGCATGGTCTGTAACCGATTCCTCAGTATCAGAATGAGACACATCTAGCTTTTCTGACAGAAGCATTTTCTCAGCAAACCTGTAAGACTCCCCTCTTAGTTCTGACAACTCATCGTCATGGTATTCTATTGAGTGTTGACTCAAAAGCTTCAATGTTTTATAAGAGTCATCAGATATGAGTTGAGCAGAACTAGGGCGGCTGTCTTCTTCTTGGGACACAGGAGTGTTTACTCTGGAAGACTCCAGATAAGAAGGCAATGACTCTTCAGCGGTAAGTTCTTCTTCTTCTTGCTGACCCTGTTCCTCTGAACAAGGAAAAGCATCGTGTTTTTCTGGCAGAAAATCTTTTAGGTTAATATCTCCCCGGGATAAGTCTTTCTGATATACATACATTTCCTTTTCTGGATGCTTTTTGGTTTCTCTAATAATGACTTCAGTGGGCTCAGCTTGGTTACCTTTTTCGATGTGGACTTCTATTATACGCTCCAGTTTGGGTTTCATTTGGTTGTCCTTCTCTGCATGCTGGGCTGAGGTTTCAGCAGCAGACTTGTGAACATCTGGAGACACTGCCGACTTATGTTCAAACAGACCTGCCAGTTCTTTGGAGGGATCCCGCCCGGACTGAAAGGCCTTCATGATGTCATGGACTGACATGGTTTCTTCAAGTCTTTCAGAGGCACCTTCACTGCCTGGTGGAGAATGATAAACCATTCTGGTGGTTGTGGTTATGTGAGTCTCTTCCTTAACACGCATGCCTTTGCTCAAAACCCGATTGTGGTCGTCATCTTCACTATTGGCTTTCATTTGAAATGCTTTAACTTTTTCTTTAATACTAGATGTGGTGGACGTTGGTTCCAGTTCCATAAATGTTGGTGAAGGTTTGGGTGACACAGGCTCCTCTGGTTGGGACTGGGGAACATCCCCAGCTGAGGGCTCATAGCTCCTAATAACATGAACCACTTCAGTTCTTGTTTCTGTAATGACAGGAGGGATGGGGACTTCATGAAAAAGAGGTTTCGGACCAGTGCTCTCTGCACTTTGTGGGGCTGAAGGTGTTTTTTCACTTCTTGTTTCAAAGCCACTATCAGACAAGGGACTTTTGTCTTGGTCATGTTGAGAAAAGTCATCTGGAGACTCTAGAATAGTATCTGTTCCAAAAAAGGTGTCAGCCATTTTACATAACTCTTTCTCGGAGGTGGAAGGCCTCATGGAGGCAGGAGGCATCTTGAGTTTGTGTTCCTGCAGAGCAATTGCTGGTTTTAAAATTCTTTTCTGTCTCTCCTCACCATCCTTCTTTGCGTCCTCAATTTTGTACTTTAAGTTTGTCAATGAACTACTCCCAATATCATTTGTAAGGTAATCAATAACTTTGGTCAAGTTGTAATCCTTCTCAGAGGCAGCCTTTGCTTTTACTTGTACTCTCTCCGGCAGAGATGGAGACTGGCTTGCAGTGGCTTGTTGTCTTGCTTCTTTTATTTCTTCTGAACTAAATTCTATCCAGTCATCTTCAGGAGAGCGTCCTTTGTCACTCTTAGGTGATTGGGGTGATCCTTTATTATCTACACACACATCCTTTTTAAGGATTTCGCTCACTTTCACTAAATCTTCCTTTACTTTCTCAACAATTTTGAAAGGTTCTTCATCATCAATTCTCCCTTCTTTTGGGAGTTCAGGTTGGAATGGCTTCTCTTCAGGCACATCTGTCTGTAGTATTGCGGTCATCCGCATCAGGTCCTCTTTCATTTCAGCCACGTCTTTTAATATCTCCTGACTGGAAGATAAAGAAGAAGGTGTAGATAACTTAAGGGCAGAGGGTGCAAGGAACAAAGATGACTTAACTGGAGATGAAGTTCGATTGAAATGGGGCTGAGGACGTGTCTCCGTAGTCAATGTTTTAATGGGTGACAGCAAGGCTGCTGTTGATTTTGTAAGTGAATTAGAGTCTGGAATTTTCTTTAATGCTGGTTCTGGCAAAACATTGACTACAGAGTATACTGGCACTGTGATTATTGATGACGTTACAGATGAGGTAGTTGCAGATATTGACGACCCAAGGGATGTGTAGAGTGCACTTGCGGAAGGAGTTCTTAGAGACTGAAAAGCTGATGGTGCTGTAGAAACATATGACCTGAGTGGGGAAAATGGCATTGCTGTCGTGGTAGAAAACACTTTCTCAACTGTGTCAGTGGCTGCACTGACCACAGAACTCACAGAGTTTGTAGCTGTCGAAATTTTTTCCTGTAACGTGGCAGTGGCTTTACATCCATTAATTAAAGTTGAAGATGATGGATATTTCAGAGGAGAAATAGATCCGTTCACTAATGCAACCTCTGCATGTCCAGGCATCTGTTTCACCGGTGACGAGAGAGAAGATGCCATAGTAACTTTAGTTGATGAAATGACATCAACTGCTGATTTAGCTGGAGACACCACTGACTTTAAAGGTGAAGATATTAGCGGTGATGTTGATGTAATAATTGACTTAAACGGCAAACTTGAGGAATACATATTAATATTTGATTTGGGGGAGGCAGGGGGTGTCATAGTAATTGATGACCTCTCCAAAAGAGACCCTGCTGTAGTCACTGGAGAGGTTCGAGAGGAAAACGTAGAATTGGACGCCAGCCCTTTTAAGGGCGTAGCCTCTGTGACTGTGGGAGCTCTAACCAGGGTACCAGAGGAAACTTGGACATTGTATGGAGATTGTGACACCACTGTTTTTATTGGCGAAGAAATTGTCCGAAAAGATCTAATTGGAGATGCCACGTCACTAATGGATTTAACTGAAGATGTAGTTGATGCGCCTAATGTGGATTTGATTGGAGAAGGAGTCGAAACAGACCATATTGATTTTAACGGAGAAGCTGATGGCGTATTAGAGGAAGAACTTGATAAGGAAGTGAAGCCTGACTTGGCTTGCCCGGGCACTGTAATCGGAGCTGTTGTCCAGGACTGGTATGGTCTTGTAGAAAAGAATGGCTTGTATGAATAAGTGGTGGGGAGGGATCTTGTTGCTCCTGCACTCCGTTCAACTGTTTCTTAAATTTTAAAATGAAATCAAACACAAAAATCAACAAAAATGGTTGAGAAACAGAGAGACCAGAGAAAAAAATTGGTCAGTAAACTTTGAAATATTACAAAAGCAAGTACAATTGTTTGCATGATTTAGAATGGAAGAGGCAAAAGGAACAATTAAGTAAAAGAGGAAAAATAAAGTTCTACAGACATAACTAATCCAAACTTAAAAAAAAAACGATAAATAAAAACAGCAATGTGAAATGAAAGACAGAAAAAGCACATCGCAACCAAATAGGCCAACAATGAAAAATGGAAAACATGAGGGAAGAATTAATGATGAGAAAAATAAATCACAGTGGAAAACTGTTCCCTTACTTCCTATTGACTTTCTTATGTGCTGGTTTTGAAATAGCAGCAGCTGTTCTGTTTTGCCTGTATACATACATGTTTGTTTTGTGCAACCATATGACTCTCATTTTGGTAATTTCTAATGTTCCCTCTCCTTGAGCCTTTCCATTATATAGATTGCACCTACTTAGAACCATTCCAGTAAGTGTAGCTATACATCAAATATCTAAAACTCTTTTTTAGAAAACCACTCAGGCTTATTTCATGCAGAATCCAAAGTAACTTTTCAGTGACAGGCAACTGATGTGCAAACTGTGAAGCCACTGGCTTTTAAATCTGTATCTTCCATGCACAGTTCGGTTATGTTTCACACCCATAAAAAGCCAATAAGAGCAAGAAATTTTCTGAGTTAGAATTTTAAACAAACAACAACAACAACAAAAAAAACAAAGAAAAGGAATGTTTGCATTTATCTTTTCCATGCAGTATATTCCTTTTGATGAGGGAAAATTTCACACCCATAAAAAGCCAATAAGAGCAAGAAATTTTCTGAGTTAGAATTTTAAACAAACAACAACAAAAAAAAAAAAAAAAAGAAAAGGAATGTTTGCATTTATCTTTTCCATGCAGTATATTCCTTTTGATGAGGGAAAAGAAAATGTCATATGAAATGATTTAAAAATGCATGTATGTACACACACAAAAGAAAAAACCCAGAAAATATGGTTCATGGTTAACATAAGCAAGCAAAGCAACTGAAAACATTTTATCATGCACAATATATCATGGCAAACAAGCCAATGAAGTAATACAATTTTTATGCCATATTATGCACAATATATAAACTTTAAAAATATTTTCACAAGAGCATTTAGAAAGAAGAGTACACTTTTTCCATGAGATGTGAAGTCTTGGTACCTTTTGAGATTTCAGGAAAATATTTAATACTGTGCGTTATAAAATACACCCACAACTAAATATATCCGTGCCTGTAGCTGTCTTCATTATGAATAAAAGCACATAGTTTATCTCATAGGTTTTCATAATCTATTCTACTTTCAATTCTCAAAAGGTATCACGGGGAAAATCTAAAAAGCACAGTCATATTTTTAACATTGCATATTTAAGCACCTACAGTGGAATATGGCATGTATTTGCATCTATGTTTATCAATTGCAAAGGTACCAATTCTAGTGCCTTCCCAGAATATTCAGGGGCTCATGGGTATCCCAAACACTGGAGCAGCCATGAGGTAGACCTACCCTACCACTAAGAAAGATGGATGTAATACCAGCATTCTTCTGGTAATGGGGCAAGAAACACAAATGAGGCACGCACACTTGCTGGGGGAGAGCAAAGACACACTTAGTCCTGTCTGCTTCTACAGCTCTAACAAACAAAACAAGCTGGTCACAGAGATTTGGAATGCCTAACGTTCTGTGTCGAAGTTGAGGACACACTTGATCCGAGAAAGCCCTGGTTCAGAATATCAGTGAAACTCGAAGAGGAAATGAGAATCTGCTTCATCGTTTATGCTCCTCTTCATGCTGTGCCCATGCCAGTGCTACAGCTCAGTCCTTGGATTAGCAGCTACTCCCACCAGGGTGAAGATTTTCATTCCTAGTGTACATTTAAATTCAAACATTCACAACATATCCTTTTCTAGGCTTACACATTATTCTAAAGAAAGTAGAATATCTAAGGAAAAGTGTACTTACTGATAACTCCTCCTAGCCATAATTTTTAATGTGATATTGCTTAACTCTTTTGGAAATGCTACATTGCAAATGGTAGGTTTGAGAATTCCTTCAATTCAATGATTTGGGCTCAGTTCATGTCTTAAGAGAATTTTTTTTTTAACTATCAGAAACTGGCAAAACATCTCTCCTTTACCACTGAAGGTTGGCTCCATCAGATAGGGAAGTCTTTTTAACCATGTCTATGGTTTTATACGTTGCAAAGAACCAAGTTACTGATCAGTTACATATTTTATGCTTTAGTGACAGATACTTTGTGATATAACACAAGGAATTTATGGATATCAGGCACTGAGCTGTACCAGAATCTTTTTTTCTTGGGAGGCAGGGTGGTGAGGGAAAAGTGGCATTCACTTGGAGTTGTAACACCAGTTCAGATAACATGACATTTCCTTAGTTTTCTTTTACGTCCTTATTCCTTTTCATTCTTCTCTTCACCACCCTTATGTGCCCTTCCATAAAACAGAAAAGTATCCTCTCCCTTCTTTCAAAAGTCAAGGAAGACAGGCTGCATATACCTTAACTGAAGCCAAATAAAAAGCAGCAACACTTTCATAAGTGGGAAAAATTCAATGAACCTAGCACCTATCTGACCTTACAATTCAGGTTTCCCCCAAACAAACACCGTAGGGACCAGAGTTAGATGGAAACTTGTCTGCCCCAAGGGGCCTCTGACCTAAGGTTCATCAAGCCCATCCTTAATCTTAAGGATGTTGCCTAGGGGGTCCCAAACAACTACAATGAGGCTCACATTTAGGTCCAGTAATGGTATTGAGGGCAAAAGAATATTCCAAAGAAAACTTACACTCAGTATATTTAGTTGTACTGAAAAACCATGTAGTTACATACATCTTCCCTGCTCTGTAGCATAAGAGGAGTTAATTACTGGCCCTTATGTTTCTGAAAGGATTTAGACACTACTAGAGGAGAAAATTGAGATCTGAGGGAGCATTCATGTGTGGTGGGGTTTCATTTCTCATGTACTCCCCATTTTATATCTGTGTAAAAAAGCTTCCCTAGTAGTCAAGGAGCTAGACTCCAGAAAAGTATGCTAAGATTATCTGAGCTAAGTAGTGGAGTAGTTTCCTGCTGTGTATTTTATATGCTATATTGGGCCATAGAAACAAGAATTCTGGAAAGATGGAAAAAACCAAAGTTGTGGCTCTTACTGGTAAATTTCCCAACCTCCCTGAACTCAAGTAACTGTGAGCCAATGGGAAACAGGAATGATTCACTAATTAAAAAATAATTTTGTATAAATCCTCCTCTAAATGAAGCTCTCTGATGGTTAAAGTGGCACCACTCTACTCTTTATCAATCACGGTGCTGCACTCAGTACTCTTCATTCCCACTGGTGGAAGGGGTTATGTTGAGGGCTGTAGTGATCACCTGAGGTAATAATTACAAGGGTGAAGGAAGGAGAGACGGAGGAGGTGGGTGGGGCAGGGGCAGGGGAATGAATATGACTGAATCTATACCTTGATATTTGCAAGCCAGTTAACAATGAACCAAAACAATCATCGAGGAAAAAAAAAGGTTTTAACCAGTTTAGTGAAGACCAGCCTTAAAACTAATATTTTAATAAAGGACAGGGGGAAGGAGAGGGAGGAAAGAAATAAGAAATCAGTAAACAAATGCTACTTCAAGAAGATAAGAAAATATAATTTTTGCAAAGTAGGAAGAAAAAGAATCATTACTAGGATATAAAAAGAGATGACAACCAATGTAACTTTTTCATTCTTTCTACCATCCCAAATACATGGGAGTAAATATTTTCTGAGCATAGATTTAAAGCAACATTGGTGTTCATATCTGCCAGCATAGTTAAAAATCAAAGTCAAGTATTAAAACAAAAGTAATAGATGTTTCTAATTTAAAACAGTTAATGGCTTTAAAAAAAAACCTGTTTTGAAGCTATGAGCTAGGGTGTTTGTACCACATATCTTCAACTGTATACAAAATTTTACTTAGATTTCATGATAGGGTTTTCCTGCAGGCAATTTTTATCAGGTTTCCAAATGACACAAAAATTTAGTTTGTACAGAAAAAATGTCTCTTCTTATACAAATCCACACAGATTAGTAAATGTGTTAGAAAACTCACTCATTCCAGGCTCAGTCAAGTAGCTGTAGCGCTTACGTAAAGCTAAAGATGCAAAGCTTTGTCGTCTATCTGTTCTCTCAGTCTGAAAAAGAAAAAAAAAAGATGACTGTGTTTCCAACTTCCCTGTGTCATTTTCACAGTTCTGAAACATTTTGTAGGATGGCACGTTGATATCTTGTTTATTCTTAATTTTCTTTGTATGCATTTTCCTCTTAAAAAATGTTAATTCCCTACTGGGATTCTATAACCCCACCCCAATGTCTCAACAAAATAACCATTACTTAGAAAATATAAGAGCACTAATACAGCAGACTACAGGGGACTACAAATAAAAGACGAGCACTACAGAGACTTTTGATGCTGAGCAGTAAATTTTCCCAAATTCATTCATATTGAAAGCACACATACCACAAAGTTCACTCATTCTATGTGAGGACATTCAAGGAAAAAAGGCACATGAAGTTTTCCAATTACTACTATGGTTTCTGTATGTTAATAGGCACAAAGAGTAGATGAGATTAGAAACAGGTTAACGGTTTTATTAGAAGTAATGTTATTGAGTCCTAAGTCTGCTGATTCTATTTATTCCTACTGATGTGAGTTTTAAAAATTCAGTTATCGTTTACGTTGGGGACATATTAGAAGATAACTTAAAAGAGAAAATTCTTTTAAAACTTAACTGAACAAGTGTACTCTTTAAACAGTATCCAAGATAAATTTCTTTAGGTGGAATATCAAATATTTATCAACAGCCAGTGAACAAATATTTTTTATTACATAAAACATAAGTTGATATGTACAGTAAAATTTCATATATTAACTATGATCTTGATTTAAAAGTTGTACCACAGTGGATAGCAGTAGATATTAGAATATGCATGTGAAACATTTTAAAAAAAGTGTATTTGTACATGCCAATCTATCACATTTAAAAAACGTTTAAAGAACTTTAATTTCTCTTTTTAAGTCATTAGCTGGATTATAATTATAATAAATAATGTATTTATTTTTGGTGGCTAGCCTGTACAGGGATCAAGCCCTGGACACTGGTGGTATCAGAACCACACTCTGACCAACTGAGCAAACTGGCCAGCTCCTGAATATACTGAAGTATTAGTGTGTATATGTAGAGGAAGAATAAACCATTTTTTAAGAAAAATACATACCCGTTTACCTCACTTAAGCTAAGATCTGCAAAAATATAATCTATACATTTCCCACACTTCAGCCCTCTGATTTCTTTTATACAGATTCAATTTCTATTCTACCTCTGATAGAATAAAAGCAGAAGTGTTCATATTACCTCATCATCTTGATCTGACTCTGTCTCCTTTTGGTTCCAAGGTGCATTGCAGAGACAAGGAATATTATAATGGACAGCAGGGAAAAGAATATCAGGATATGAAAAGGACTGAGTAGGGAGCACAAAATGCAAGCTGATTTAGAAAGCAAAGCAAACCAAAAGAAGCCAACCAAAAGTATCAAGAACTGTACACCCATGGCAAATTAATGTGTGACGTCATTTGAAAGCGTAAAAATCTATGAACTACCAGCAGAAGCAGAAGCGATAAACAGAGGACTCCATCATACAGACTTTAAGAATTTGACACCACAGTAACAAGACTTAGTCAATCTACACAAGGAGACTAATAAAACTCGAATTTCAAGAGCTTTAATAGTGTTACAAAGCATTCCTTAATTGCATACCAAGGGCCTACTTCTTCAAGACCAGGGGAAAAAATTTAAAAGAAACCAGTATTAAGAGATACCTTTTTATGTGCTGGCAGAGTGATATTTAAGTTGCAGACAGCTGTTTGAGGCAGTCCTTTTGTTGTCTTTGGTTCTTTCAGGAAAGACAGACGACCACAGGGCTCTTGGCTGGTGTCTCTAATCTAGAAGAATTTAGGTAGTTGACAGTTATAGAAAGAGACTTTTCTGAGGATTCCTGTATGTGTAAGAGTTAAGTATGTTTATTTTGTGAAGCCCTTTGAAAGACAGGGAAGGTAAAGGGAAAAAAATGATAACAATTACATGTCAACCAGGGTGGTCACATTTGAACTCAGCAAGATTTAGATGCTCAATTCCTGGCCTAAACACGGGATTGTTGTGTCTGCTTGTTTTATCCAGACAATTCACAGTACAGTCTGGGTTATATGCATTTTCTTCCTGCCTAATTTCTTTTTCTCAAAGCTTCAGTTTCTGCAACAATAACAGCAAGTAATAACAATAATAAAACAATTGTCCTTTCTCCTTCTGTTCTCTGAGGAAGAAGACGGTCTCTCCAGAATGTCCCTGGGCTCCATCAGAAATAGAAATAAAACTTGAATACTGGATTCGGATTTCATCCATTATTTGATTACTGAACATTAACCAGATATGATACATTTTATTATTCTAGATTGTTTGGTTTTATAAAATTTGCTTAAACATAAATGACTATTAAACTTTTTAAAAGGCAAAGATTGCTTTTACTAATTATAAAGATTTAATGGCTTGATAGTACACTCTGACAGAACTAGGACAAAAATCTGATCTTGTTCTTATGAGGTCAGGTTTGGTGGGATATTTCAAACAAAATAAATCATTAAAACCTTTTAAAACCATTAAAACCCTTTCTTTTTATTCTCTAAGAGAATTAAAAAAAATTCACAAAATCTCTATTAAAGATGATTTACCTTGATGGAAAATGGCAGTCTATTTTCTTTGAAAGCATAAAAGTTAAAAACAAGTTGTTGTCCTCCTTTGGTAAGTGGGGCCAGATTTCCATAACAATCAACATAAATAGGTTTTCCTTCCAGAACCTTTTAGAGTAAAAGAAATACATAATTTAATGTTAATTTGAGTTGGAAGGATTTTGAGATTTTAAGTCACATAACATTAAGACTGACATATTTCTATATCATATTTGTCTCTTTATTAGGAAATTATTCTGTAATTTCTGTGGTGGTATTTGCCATAAAAATAACACTGTGGCTTACAATTCAACAGTTGTGACTGGAAACCATATTCTGGACATGTACAAAAGATAATTATATATTTATTTCTATCCTGGCACCTTTAATCATGTTTGAGAAAGTGTCTGATACCAATTGCTTATTCATATAGTTGGAAAGTATATATATATATTTTTGACTCTTAGATACTTAAATGATCACTGGGATGGAAAAAGGAAAATCATGGTAATGTGTAGACAGTGACCATGGAAATAAGATAACTCAAGTAGCCACAGGAAAAATGGAAACCATAACTTAGATTTCTCACTACTACATTTTAACCAACTAAGATAACCCCAAAGACACTTAAAATAATTTGAGAATGAATCTATACTGAATTTTTAAAATAAAAATTAAAATCAATAATGTACTTGATAATTAAGGTAAGTGCCATTATGGCCTCAAATAAAATTCCATATGTGGGGAATGTAATGAAATGAACTTGTTTTTGTGAACACGTTACCTCAATATCTTTACTTCTTGCAACTTCCTCAAAATTCTCTTGCTGTTCTAAAGTTTTATCCACTTTGTCATCTGTCATGCAGAAACATCGCAGGGAAGATTCTACAGGATCATTCATTTTGGCAAAAACAACGAACTTGGCCATATATGGAACACATATTAATTCTCTATATAGTTGCGTGGCTAAACCAACAGTTTCTAAAACTTGATGGCAGTCTGCAAGCCAAAATCTGAGAAAATCAAAAACATAAGTATGGAAATGAGGCAATTTAAAAGCCAAATCTTAAAACAATTCACAATTTAAAAAATCAGAGTGGATAAGGGAACTAAATCAAAATATTGTTCATTTAGATGGCAAAAATATTTACTGTTTATCACACACAGAAACACTGTTTATTATTTGATAATAATTATGCTAAGTAAATGCTAAGGATTTTTTTTTCTCTCTTTCCTTTCCCACAAAACTTAAAATAAAAAAACCACAATGGTATTGAGCACAATTGTTACTTTCCAAAGGTAATAAAACTAGTATCTTAGTGCTTTTTGGAATCCTTTATTTCCATACCTGGCTGAAACGTTAGTTGTAAAAGAGACACAATCCTTTGTAAATGTCAAAGGAGTTGTTCCTGTGATGTCTTCCCACTGAGCAGGTGAGGTGCCCCCTGAGAGAACAACAGCAGATATGTTGACTTTGTTATCGGAGATGCTTCTTGTAAAATTTTCATCATCATCCTGTTCTTCCCACATAGCCAGTAACTGGCAAAGTTTCAACACTTTCAGTTTAATGGTGTGTACTATAGGTAGTTTTTCTCTTTACTCTCATACTTTCACTGTCTTATTATGATCTCCTTATTAAATTTTTAGGAAATTACTTTTCTGTTTGGATACTGAATGGCTTAAACTTGGGGCGGCCACAATTTATATTTTGTAAGTGCAAACATTTGTTGTTTCGGATAGATAATATAAGTCTCTTATTTTTTAAAAAGGTAAGAACTATCAAGAAAGTTAAGCAGCAGTTCATTTTGAACCTGGCTGAACCATTTAATTTTCAAGGTAAAAGGGGGAATCTACCACTAAAATTACTCCTCAAAAAACAAAAACAAAACCTGTCTTTGATAATCTTGGACTTGTAGTTAAAAATCAGATTAGGATAATCAAAGCATGAATTGAGCTCAAGATTTCAGGTGCTTATCACCTGAAGTATGTAAATAATCCCGGCATATGTAAATGTGTAAATAAACCCTGCATATGTAGTCTACTGGATTACACCAGTGAACAGAGTAGGTATTGAACACTTCCCTACTACAAGTGCTCTGTGGGATCTATATTTTTCCCAAAGTCCATCCAATTTCCTGCTAGTCTAAAGAATGCTGCCAGGTCCTCTACCTCTATCTAGGTCACAGAGAATTTACGTAAAAGCTCCAGTAGATTCAATAATATCTAAATAATCCTAAAAGGGCTCTACTACTAATGCTGAACTTAATAGCAGGAAAGATGATATCTTTAAGTTTTAAATTAGTCATGAGATGAGCATCTTACAGAAATGATTCCATGGATAACAGAGATGAGCTGATGGACAAGTGAAACATTTTATTCTTTATTTCCTACTCTTACAGCGCTGGCATAGATATTTCAAAGGTTTTATGTCTTTGGAGGAAATAACTGCAAATCAACAGGAAGTACAGCAGCAACTTAACCAAACCTGTAATGCTACAGAGAAGGCGCAGGTTGGGAGTAGTGTCCCCCTTGTATCCATTGGATACACCCTCTCCTGAGGGCGGGGGCACTGGAATGGTCATTGTGATTGGTTTATGGAATTTCCTTCTTCTTGGTTCCACAGTGACAATTGGGCTAAATGTTGCTTTGTTTCCAAGGATCTTTTTCACAATTTCATCCGGAACAGGCTGGGCCTAAAGACAGAGAAAAGACCTTAAATAGAAGTGGATATTTTTTTCATCAGAAAGTTGACTTTGTAAGTGAGAAGGAAAAAAGACCCAAAGCAGACAACCAAAAAACATGTATTTTTTCTTTATCCTTTCTCACTATTTTAGGAAGGCATGAAAAAAAAAAAAAAAAAAAACCTAACACAGTGGCAGGAACTGGTTAGCCTGAGTTATTTCCCTAACAGAACACAGACAGTATTATTGGCTTGCATGAAAGAAAGGGGGTCAAATCTCAGAGCAGAGAAGCTTCTTAGTCTAACCTAAAGTAAAGGACAACAAATGTTGAGTTCAGTATATTTTAAATCTATGCAGGACATTCAGTAAAAACTCATAAAGGCAACTCATTCCCATGTAAAAATTGAGGCTTTCATAGTTAAGTAACAAAAAGGCATTCAAAATTTCAAAGGATTTCAAATTCTAGTCAATCAAGCCTAACGTTTTCCTTTTGGTTTCTTTGCTATTTGGTAAAAAAAATTTGATATTGGATACAGGTGAAAGGAACCTCATACCAATGAAACGTAAAGTGGTCTATTTAGCTGCAAGTATTTACTAAAGGTCTTCTCAGGACTCACAGTCTTTGGCTTAAAAAAAAAAACAACAAAAACCAACAACTCCCTTGGGCGTGAGAGTACAGCCTCACAAAAAGAGCATGAACTTTCAGTTAAACTATTAATTATGATATTAAGTAATAACACAGATTAAGTTATTTTCAGTTGATTTTCCTTATTCAGTAAGGAATAAAAAAGAACTAGTTAAAGTCTACCTGAAATGAATAAATATAAGAAACATCATCCTTGCCAAGATTTCTAGTCAGCTTACCAAACCAAAACAAGTTCTAACTGGTTTGGATAAAACCCAGCGTTTACAATTTCCTTAAACCAAAACACTAAAGCTTGCAAGTTTCACTAAAACTGATTTTCATGATGTGGCATATTATAAAACAAGTCTCAGTATGTCGCTCTGCAAACCGAGACCAATAACCTATGGTTGAAAAAATTATCTTTTATCAGAAACCAACTGATACTTTTAAACAGAAAAACTCTAAAATATGTACCTTATTTAACAAGCCACTAAGCTAATTTTACACTTAATGCTTTTTATTTGAAATAGGTTAATGATTCCCCAAATGGCCTACATGACAATATCATTAAGGATGAGCTACGATAACCATTTCCAGAGCAAAACATGTTCATTCACTCTCTACATGTACTGACAAAAACAACTTTTTGTGAACATCACCTGGAGGCCCACTCGAATTCTCTTAGTTAGGGCACCCTCTGGGAAAGACGCTTGGACAAGGGGCACGGTAGTGCTGCTCAGAATTCCACCTTCAGGACCAATCTGGTTGCTTTCCTGTTTAATCCGGGAAACCACTGCAAAATACTGGGGGAAATCCTTAGTGATAATCCTGCAGATACGCTTTTTCCCTAACTCTTCTGGGCTATCAAGTTCTGAAAAGACAAATGAATGAAAAAGCCATGAGCATGGGCATATCTACAAAATACCTTGAGACAGATATGTAATTTTGATAGTCAAAACTATTTATATTCAGTAGCTTGTTTAATTTTTATGATAAAGAGAATACTACAGTGATTATAAAATAATATCTTTTTGCAAAAGTATTATAAAGCTATTAATATAAGTATCTGTAGAAAAATATTTCTACTGAGAAGGAACAAACATCTTCAAAAACTGACATTTTTACCACATGTGAATAAATTCCCACTCTTCAAGAAGAGACACCTCATTATGTGATTTTTACAGTAATCTGCCCTCAAGCTGCTGAAAGTAGGAATGAGTCAGAAAAAAAAGAGGCCTCACAAGAAAGTGAATAACAACTTAAGTACAACTCTAGAACTTTACTTGAAAACTCTCAACTATTTTTTTTTCCTTTTTGTCTTTTTTACTGACCGGTAACGGGATCGCAACCCGCGGTGTCGCGCCCGTACCGGGGACCGGCAATGGGATCACAACCCTCGGTGTTGCGCCCGCACCTCGCTCAGCCAGTGAGCGGGAACCGGTTTCCACATGGGATCCGAACCCTCGGCGGGAGCACCACTGGGCTGGCCCAAAAAACTCTCAACTATTTTAAAATTACCGAATGATTAGCAGTATCATCACCAATTTCTGTCTGCCCACCAGTTGCTCTCATTCATCAAACTCAACCTTTCCACAAATGGACATATCTTCTTCCTCCTTTCCACCTTTAGCCCTACTACGTCTTCCCCTGTAGTCCTAAATCTGGTGAAGGATTTACAACTTGCCCAGTCCTTCAGTCTAACAGTGTTGACTCACTTTTCTTCATACTTCCCACCTAATGGTCAAAGTCCAGTTGATGCTATTTTGGAAATGGCTTCCTCTCCTGCCACTCTGTTGTTCAGACTCTGTTTTAGCTTGCCTAGACTTACTTAGATCAACCTCCCAACCATCTCCCTGCCACTGCAGTGCAGCTACATGGGTTTTCTTTAAAAAGCCAAGTTTTATGCAGAATTATGGTAGGTTTAGTTGGAATAAATGATTTTTAAGATGTTATGGAATAATAAACATTGAGATTAGCCAAAAGTACTTTGGTAAAGTAGATTGTGAGGGAGAATTTATCTTATAAGATTAAAATAAGTATATACAGACATATAAGACTATAAGAGTTATCTATCTATCTATCTCTCTCTCTCTCTCTATATATATATATGTAGACAAATAGGTGAGGGGTACAAGAATAGGGAATAAATAGACAAGTTTATATATGTATACTGTATATATGTAAGTCCATATATATATTCACTTTTATGTACACATTATGTATTTAAATTATATTTAAGTCAAAGTCATATTTAAATTTCAAACAGTGGGGGAATGATGTTTTATTTAAAAGATAGTGATGATATAATTGAAAATCTATTTGGAAAAACAAATCTAAATCACTAAATCTTATCATATGTAAATTAAAAATTGTGGCTGAATAGAAGACTTAACTATTTTAAAAGATTAAAGTATTACCAAAAATCTCAGGAAAATACATTTTAGCCTTGTTTAGGGGAAACCTTCCTACACAAAACTGGAAACCCAGAGACCTAAAAGGCAGTTTTGACTCTATAAAAATGAAAAATTTTCCATGACAAAAATAGTAAACTTGAAAGACAAAAGGTAGGCTGGGAAAGTTAATAGCCACACCTGACAAAGGATTAATATGCTCAATACAAAAGATAGCTACAAATTGGTAAGAAGATGACAGACAAGCCAATGGACAATAGCAAAATGATATGAACAGGCAATTCACAGAAACTGAAAAATGGTCAATAAATAAATATTAAAATGTTCAAACTTGATAATTTACATGGCACACCTACCTCTTGGATTAGCTAAAATTAAACACTGACAACATCTTGTTATCAATTAGAGAAAAATTTGGAAAACAGGAGCTTTCATTCATTGCAGGTAGGTGTGAATGGCAATAATCTTTTGATAATGTAATTGGGTATCATTTATTCAAAGTGAAAATGCACCTACCCTTGGACCTGGCAATCCCATTTTCTGACATCTTTCTTACAAACACATGCAAAGCCACATTGCTTATAATTTAAGAAGACTCTGAAATTACGTCCTTCAAACAGGACAGATTTCCTAACTCTGCATGAAACAAGTTGTGTGTCTGTGAGTATGAACCCACCAGAGGAAGTGAGGCATTTGTGGGGGTTACTGGTGGTATTATGCCCTTCTTAGCTGTGTGTGTGTGTGTGTGTGTGTGTGTGTGTGTGTGTGGGTGGTGTGTGTGTGTGGGTGGTGTGTGTGTGTGGTGTGTGGTGTGTGTGTGTGCATACATCCATTTGTGAAGGTTTAAGGTAGAAACAGCTGTACCTTCCCTGGACACTATCATATCAATGGACTGGGAAGAACTGCCCCTTTGTGTGAGGGAGGCAGCCTGGCCACACTAAACGCTATATTATGTTTGATAAGGCATTAAAGTAACCCCAAATATAAAGGCAGCAGATGCTGGTAAATGGAGAAACTCAGATTCCTAGCTACAGAAACAGAGAAGATCTCAGGAGAAATTGATCAATGCCCTCTTCACTCAATTTCTGACATCTTTTAGGTAGGATATGCAAGCAGCTTGAGGCCCCTCTACATGGTACCCCCTCTGTTTTAAAGCTTTTATCAGTTCCTGTACCATTAAAACTTGCATGGTTATTCAACATACATTTTCACAGGTATTTTGAAGATAAGCCTCAACTCAAAGAAACAACTAATGTGGGAATTTCAGGCACTGCAGTAGGCAAGAAGGAACAATTGGGGTCCCCAAGCACCATTCTTTAAATAGAATCACACACATTGCCTTCTTGAATACTTAGATTTCCAGGCCTCTGCACGATGAAATAGAGAAATGATGATCTTTCCTGGTTCCCTATAACCAGGTTATATCCTGCTTATGTGCATGCTTAAAACATTGGCAATTTTTCTGAGAATAATAATAATATTATTATTATTTTAAAATATGATTTAATATTTTTAAATTAAAACTAATAAAATTATTTTTTAATAAAAGTTTTACTTAAATATTGGTTTGTAAAAAGAGGTATAATCCCTTCAAGAGCTGCTGTTGAAGGCTAGGCTATTAAATTCTAGGATACTGTATAAATAGGACAATAAATGATGCAGATGGTGGGTAAGTGTGAGTAGGCAAGAAGAGGAGGAGACAACCAGTCAGTAAATGTTCACTACAGAATTCTGTGACCTGAAAATCGATCACATGATCTCAGTTGCCAACCAGTCAGTAAATGTTCACTACAGAATTCTGTGACCTGAAAATCGATCACATGATCTCACTGACCATCCATAGGATGGAGGTTAAATAAATTAGGATATGTTATACTATGGAATACTGGGCAGTGTTAAAAAGAATGCAGTAGGAGTTTACGTTCTAATACGTAAATCTCCAAGACAAATTAAATGAAAATGTCACCAAAAATATGATCTCATAACAATTGACTAATCACATCCTTATATGTAAATGTGTAAATTCATATAATTTACATAAAAATTAGGGGAGGGGAGAGGGAAGAAGAAAATTATAATACATCTTATAACGGATGTGTACTTATGTACTTATGTGCATAATAATACTAACACTAGTATTAAATAATATAGATATAAATATAAAATGTTGATTCAACTCAAGCACATTTTTTCCTGTTTCTTGCTTTAAGAAAAGGTAAGTGAAATACAAATAATGGAATGATTTTAGCTGAATGTTTGAAAGCGGGTAACTAAAGAGCTGGCTGCTGGGTCGAGAGGGGATGAAGCAAGAGCTCTGGACCCTCAGCTACTGTGACGCCCTCCTGACCTGTGGCCACATAACCTGGCATCATAGTACCTTCCCCAAAGGCTTTTGATTCTAAGGGAATTATTATAAATTTAATATTATAATATTAAAAATATTATAAGGAAGGGAATATATATAAATGTGAACTACTACATTTACATTAAATTAAGTGATGTTTGATACTTAGGCCTGGCACATAGTAGGTGATCAACTGGAATCCATTGTACCAAGAAAGCAGCTGGGAGTTAATGAGACCCAGACACTTTTCATACCAAGTAACAATATAATTCTTTAAACCTTGCTCTAAAATATATGTAGTCGTAGAGACTAGTTGTTATTTTAATAGTTTTATTTTTATAAAAAATTGCATGTGAAAAAGTGACTCTAGTCTTCCTACTTTTTAATCCACAGTGAAGTCTGTTATGTCCATGTGTTTATAACTCAAATTACTATTTACTTAATGTTTACCTAACATAATTAAAAACCCATGAGAATATAAAATTCCTCTGAAAGTTTTGTGTTCCAAACTTAAAAAGTATATCAGAGAAGTCAGATTTCCAGACAAATAGCAATAAAGTCTGATAATGTAAAAATAACGCCAGTATTCTTTCCTGGATTAAATTTGTATGTATTAAATTTTTAAATGGTCCATTACTTAGATAAGAGAAGCAGGAACATATTACCAAGAATCTTTGTTTTGCTCCCATCCTTTATGTATAGAGAAGAGCCCAACAAAATGATGTGCACCACAAATGTGACGCCTGTGTCACATTCACCCCCAGAGTCCCTTACTGCAACGTGCTGTAACTTGGCCCGATCGCAAACACAGCGCTACACATTAAAAGCACAGATTCCTAGGCTGCTCTAGTGGAGATTCTGACTTGGTAGGCCTAGGGTGGAACCTGAAAAATCTGTTTTTCACACTTAATTCAGGTGACTTTATGACTTGACACATTTAGAAAGGAGGGTCTTAGTGAACTCTCATCCTTTACCAGGCTTTAAAAATTCAGAACCCATTATTAAAACATGGCAAAAGGATCCCATGACAACTCAAGGATGGTACAATATGAGAAGAGAAGCCTATGGGACAACAATAAACATCCACTACTTTTAAATGGTTTTGTTTTTTAAAAG